ATAGCAGCCAAAGTTCGTCGTAAAAATGGAGAACGATAATATAGGATAATCATATGTGCACGAAATATTTTTACGTTCGGATCCTCACCAACTTCAATAGTAATATCATAATATTCATCATCTTTTAAACCTTCAATGTAATCTTGACTTAATTTTGAAAAAAATTGGTTGGACATTTTTATTCTTTAGTTTGTGAAATATGAAGGTAAAAGAGAACAAAAATAAAATGTTAACAACTGAACGGCTGGCAAATGATAAACTCAATTTAATACTTAACCTTAGTGATCAACGTATGATTTACGTAAGGTGAGAAAACTTTAAAAACAATAGATATTTTTGTACAAAATTGATGATCATATCCTGAAATGCATTAAAATTCTGGTAATTATATCTTGAATTAGGAATTGGGCGCATTTTTAGTATTATTATATAGATTATTTCCCCAATTGGATATTATTAGCATGGGTGAAACTAACGTCTTTTAATTTTTTTTTTATTAGAAATGGAGATCACTTTCCCATTTTTGATCTAAATTTTTTTCTTTCCGTGAGAATGATGTTGTAATTGTTGTATTAAAAAAAAAAAAAAATTTCAAATGAAAGTGTGAAATCAATTTCCATTTTTGTTTAATAATCTCTTTTCCGTAGAATTTCGTAGAATTAAAGTTGCTCATTTTTCATCAAAATTTTATATATATATTTTTTTTCATTTAATTAAAGTTATTAATATGTATAATTAAGATAGACAATTCTCTTTTAGGAATAAATATTAATTTTTTTTTTTTTTCAAAATAAAAAATTTATTTCTCATTTTAATCTGGTATGTAGGAATTTTAAAATGATTGACTAGTCTAAAAGGAAATCTGATTGGTTATTCAGTTATAAATAAATTCTTTATTCTTAAACGTACTTGATTTTTTTTTTTTCAAATAAAAGGAAAATTTTTATAATAAAAAAAACTTTAATAAAAAAAAAACCAAAATGTCAACTACTATGAGTTTTTTTTTTTTTTTTTGTTTGATAGAAACAAAATTTATTGATCAAAATCTGGTACAGAATTTGGGATGCAATATTTACTTATTTAGGATGGGACCACAGTCCGCAGCATCATGTGAAGTTTAAATAAAAGGAGTTTTATAATACACGTAAAAGATTGTATTTAAAGCAACGATAACCTTTTAATGAAAATAATATTGTATATGGAAATTTTACTTTTATTGCATTGAAATATTAATTTAATTATTATTATTTTCACATTTTTAGTTAGTGTTGATAAATTTGTGCCTTTACTTTTAAATGAAATGAAGGCTCAAGCTAAACATTATTGACGGGATTTATTGATTCTTTAATTGATAAATCAGATGAATCCGGTGATTCTAATAATTTTCTTGTCATTATTTCTTCATGGCTTCACCATAAACTTATATTAGCTACTATTTTGATTGTTTTTTTTTAAAGTACATATAAAAAACCTTTTTTTTTTATTTAGTTCAGTTTAGGTCAAAGTAAAAGTCTGATTAATAAAATTAACATTTATTTTAAAAAAACCAAGAGAAATGTCGAATAAAAATAAGACTAACTAAAAATGAAATATCGTACTGTAGATCATTTTACAATCTCTTATAATTCCTTATAACTATTTAGTCTTCTTATAATACCTCTCAGAAAAAGAAACGGGAGTTATTCAAGATGAAAATAACTTTCACTTTATAATCATATTGAACAGTACATTTGAATCTTATTTTCATTCCTAATCATCCTAATAACACAAATTCTCCTACATATCATCCTAGTCATCTTAATAACATGAGATTCTGAAAAGAGTAAAACTCTCTTTAAAAATACGTTTTCTAAAATATTTCTCTTTTTGTAGAAATCAGCTCCAAAGTAGACAACATTTCAAGTAAGTTTTGAGTTTTTTCAAAACTTTCTTTTCGAAACTTAAAAAAAAAAAAGTTTAATGTTTTCAGTTCAATTTTTTAGGGAAATTGATTCTGATTTGGATACTGAAATCCTGATAGGTAAGTTTTGAATTTTTTGAAACTTAAGAAAAACTTTTTTTAACGTTTCTTTATTTTTTAGAAAATTGGCTCCGAAGTTGGTACTGCAAAACTTCAAAAAGGAAAAACATTTTTTTTAACGTTTTTCTTTATTTTTTTTTTAGGAAAATGATCCAAAGTTTGGATTCTCAACTTTTAAATTTCAAATTTTCTTTTTTGAAATTTCAAAAAAAAAGTTTTCTAACTTTTTTTACTCTTTTGTAAGCCAACTCAGATATGACAGAATCGGGTAAGTTTTTGAAAATAATTTGAAGACTTTGAAAAAATGTTTTTATTACTTTTTTTTTATTTCTTTATAGGTCCCGGTTGGCCAGTCATCGAAATTAAAAGAAAGAGTAAGTTTCGTTGTGAATTTGCTTTTTCTTTCATTTCTCTTTTTTTGTAGAGACTTTGGCAGACTTGTTTTTTCTTTTTTTAGACGATCTTCCTCAGTTGTTGCTAACAAAAAATATCGGATAGCTGAAATTGGGTTCTTCGGATGTGAGTATTATTTTTTAAAAAAAAATTTTCAATGAATCGTTTATTAAATGTTTCATTTTATTTCTTTTTTATAGTTATTTTATATTTTTTTTAGGTGTTCTTTGGTTCATTGGGCGTGGGATTTTGGTGAACAGTATACATATTTTCTACAATTACTAATTTTTCTTTTTTTTAAAAAAAATGGTTGGTTCCTTGGCGTTTTGAACGTGAAATTTTGGTAAGTAATTTTCTTTTTTTTCTTTATTATTTTACGAGCATGTTTACTAATATCTCATTATTCTTTTTTTAGATGGCTTAGCATCGGAGGCGATCAGAAATGATTTGCATATGCGAAGTTTATATTTTTTCAAGACCATTTAATGTTTATTATCGATATAACATTTTACATCAATTTACATTTACGATTAGATTTAGAATAGAACACTCTACTATTAGTTTGTAAGATACTTTACAACTTATTTACAGCTTCAAAATAAATTTATTATATAACTTTACTATCACTTTAATATTTATTCAATATAAATTGAATGTACATTTACTTTAACTTTAATATCTATTCAACATAAATTATATATATGTTTGCGTTAACTTTAATATCACTTTAATATCTATTTATTACAACTTAAATATGCGTTAATTATAACTTTAATTTGTATTTTGTGATTTCAATACTATTTTTGTACGATCCGATTAGATCAGGTGACGATCTCCTTAATATGCATCAACTTTATACATACGATTGACTTAAACTTATTGTAACGATGTGAGACCATATCGTGACCAAGCCTTGGTTATAAGGTCTATGATAAAATTTCAACTTGGTCACGGTATGGTTTCGATTTTAAAAATTTCTGCAATGTTCGTTTAACGGTATTTTTCAAAATTCCGAATTTCCTTATGAGAAAAACCAAAATAAGGCAAAAAGAAGTGTACAAGACCAAATGACGCAAAATCAAAATGAGGCAAGGCATTAAATATCGATCCTTGACAATTTAAAAAAAAAACAGCAGAACAGTTCACGATTCTTGAGGAGTAACTGGAATAATTTATTTTACTAACTTCTCATTATGATTTTTTTTTAACAGTTTATGCCCTATAAAAAAAGTTGTCCAAACACTGTTCGGTTTTTTGTTCGGAAAATTGACCCCGTTCTGCACATTTACTTGACATTTATTGGACATTTATCATGATATTGTGCGTTTTTTATGTGGTCGAAAATTCTCAATCTCTGCATCTTGTATTAAATTATAACAAATATTGTATAATAACGTGCGAGCGTTCGGAAAATCGACCCCATTCCAAATATTTATCAGACAAACATTTTTTATAGGGATGGTTATGTCACGATTTCTTAAAAGCAAATCCTAGAATAGAGTAAAAGAAAATGTGATAAATGTGATTTAATTTTTTTGTATTAATGATCCGATTTATTAACGAATTTTGTAATCTGTCATATCTTGTTATTTATCTTTAATATTTTAATATTTTTCAACCAATAAATGATAACCATAATTTATTTATTTGTCAATATCTGATTTATCATTTTTATAATTTTTCTTATATCGAATTAATTTTCCATATAAACTCTTTAAATCATTTTTTGATATTTTCTTGTTCTTTGCACATATTTTATATAATATATACAATATGTATATATATATCATATTTTAGTACATTTTAAAAATTAATAAAATGGTAAAATAGGAGGAAAATGGAGACATTTAACAATGAAAAAAATGCAAAAATATCGTGTATATACCTCACATAAAAATGTTTTGTAAACGCAGTAATTATAATTTGATGGAATCAAGCCAAAAAATGTTCAAATATTCTAATATAAAATTCTCTTTAAATTTCATACTCTTCAATTTTAAATATTTGAATAATACTTTATATTGAAAATTAGAATTTCATATATCTCATCTTTCAAAAATTTTTCATAGGTAAACCTTAAAGAATTTCTTCAAATAAAAGACTCAAAGTTAATAAAATGTCGAGTTATAAGATCTTTTTTTTAAAAATTTTCAAAAAAATTGAAACTGGTAACAAAATTCGTAGTGCTGAAATTAAAGTTTATGTAACACAGAGCAAGTTAATACAAGGGATTATAATAAAGTTCATAATATTTTAATTTATAAAATGTAATATTTTATTCAAGTATAAATATTCAAGATTACAAAAGTTGCTGAAAATAACTGAAATCTGTTGATGTACTTACTTTTATACTAATATATTTAGGAAATACAGCATATAATAATGAAAATTAAATTTATTTATTTGATTTTATAGTATTTGTTTATTAACCATTCATAAAATTATAAAATTTGTTTAATTACAAACTGATTTTTATTATATAAAATGTTTTACATATTACTCTATAATCAGTGTTAAACAAAAACTAGTAAATATAAAATTGCTATTTAATGATAAAATAATTTATGAAAAAAAAGTAAATTTTCTAAAAAGTAAAATTTTGTTTAATTACAAACTGATTTGTATTATGTAAAAAAGTTTTACAAATTACTCTATAATCAGTGTTAAACAAAAACTAGTAAATATAAAACTACTATCTAATGATAAATAATTTTATGTAGTATAATAAATTTTCCGAAAAGTAAATATTAACTGAAAGGATATGCCACAAATTTAGTCAAATAATTTCTGCTATTCATATTTATGTTATTTATTTGAAGTTTAATACATTCTTTTACTTAAATTTTAAACCATCATTTTTTTTACAAAGAATGGTATAACTTATAAGCTATAAAAGTAAAATGAGAATAAAAGATGAGTAAAATATAAAAACAGGAGAATTAAAAAAAATGCAACTTACTTTGTAAAATCAGTAATTTCTACTGTATTATTATTAATATTATCATTATATTTTGGAAGATTTTTTGTAAAAGGATTAAGTAATCGAGATGTATAAATAGCTTGTGCATGAGTAGTTAATTGATTATTTTTTATTAACTCAAACATTTCATTTCTATATTCTCTTGTCTCGTCAAATTGAGAACTTCTAAATGATCTAATCAATTTCTTTATTTCAACTGAATTTGGTCTATTATCTGGATTTGAATCCCAACATTTTTTCATTAGGTTAGTATAACATTTTGGTGCAATTTGATCATTAATTTCAGGTCTAATTCCATTGCATATATTTAATGCTAGAACCTCATCATGAGCACAATTAGAAAAAGGTTGTTTTCCAGTTGCTATGACATACATAATCATACCAAAGCTGTATATATCTGCTGCTGGAGTATAAGGATTTCCTTTTAACACTTCAGGAGCTACATAAGGCATAACTCCATAAATATTTGTTTCATTAATATCATTAACTTTTTTACATAATCCCATATCAGAAATACATGCCATATAATCACCATATTTTTTCAATTTTGTAAATAATATATTCCCAGTATGAAAATCACGGTGAACCATTTGTTTTTGATGAATTTTATTAAGACCTTCAATAATATTAGTTAATATTTCTAATCTATTAGACCAATTAAAATCTTTACAATATAGCTTTAAATAACTATTGAAATTTCCACCTTCTGCATATTCAAGAACCATGATATATTCTTTTGTATTTGGATTTTGGGATATTCCATATATTTTAAGAATATTATCTATTTTTTGATTTGTATATGCTTTAACCTATTGAATAATAATAAATGTGTAAATATTATTATTTTTGCTAAAGATATTTAAATTATAAAGAAATTTCATACCTCATTTATAAACTCATCAAGGTTATCTTGCGAATTACTTAAACATTTTAAAGCAACTCTTGTATCTAATTTTCTTTCCCATGTCTTAGATTCATAAGAAATTAAGGCATCTTTCCATATTGCTGAATATACTGTAGAGAAACCACCTTTACCTATTTCTCTGATATTATTAAACTGGTCATATGGTATCCAATTAAACATTATGTCAGATATACAAGAATTATGATCAATATTTAATTTAATTTCTTGAATTAAATCATTAATTTTTTTAAAATCTGGATTTGTCTGACATGATATACAGCTTTTGTTTTTTCTTTCGAATTGATTATTGTATTTTTTACCACAATTTTCACAGTAATATTCAATTTTACAAACTAACATATAATCTTTTGTATTTGGATTTTGAGTTACTCCATGATTTTCCTCAACTGAATATATGACCTGTTAAATGTAAATTATTATATTATTAATAATTAATAATTAAGTTGGATGATTTATTAGAAAAATATCATACCTCATTTAAAAATAAGTGATTAACATTTTGTGGATTACATAGATATTTTAAAATGACTTTTTTATTCAGTTCCCTTTTATAAATCTTCTCAAATATACTATAATATAATGGTCCATCCTTCCATATTGCTTTAGCAAAGACATCATTTCCTATTTCTTTAATTTCAATAAACTTATTGTAAGATATCCATTCAAATATCCCACTACGACAACTATTAATTTTTAATTGCAACTTTTGAATGGAATTATCAACTTTATCATTTCCACTAGTCCAGTCTGTAAAATTATTTTTTAAATGATTTATTTCACATCGTTTACACCATTTATAATGACTATCCTCGTATTTGTTACCACATTTTTCACAATATTTGTCAAAATATTCATCATTAAAAACTAAAAGATAAACTTCAGTATCTGGATTTTGAGATATTCCAAAGATTACTTTATTTTTTAAATATGATTCGACCTATCAAAATATGGAAAAAAATTAATATTATATTGATATTCAAATTTAAATATATAGAAAATTTTAATACCTTATTAAAAAATTCATCAGTTATTTCTTGTGAATTATATGGATATTTTAAATAAACTTTTTTAGATGATTCTCTACTCAATTTTTTATCATATTTATTACAATATAATGGACCTTTCTCCCATATTGCTAAAGTATAATTTTCTTTAATGATGATAAACTCATTATATGAAATCCATTCAAATATCTTATCTTCATAACTATTAATTTTTAATTGCATTTTTTGAATGAAGTTGTCAATTTTCTCATTTCCACTAGTCCAGTCTGTGAAATTATTTTTTAAATGATTTATTTCACATTGTTTACAAAATTTATAATAACTATCCTCGTATTCGTTACCACATTTTTCACAATATTTGTCAAAATATTCATCATTAAAAACTAAAAGATAAACTTCTTTATCTGGATTTTGAGATATTCCAAAGATTACTTTATTTTTTAAATATGATTCGATCTATTAAAATATGAAAAAAATTAATATTATATTGATATTCAATATAAATATATAGAGAAGTTTAATACCTCATTTAAAAATTCGTCAGTAATTTCTTGTGAATTATGTAAATATTTTAAATAAATATTTTCACATGATTTTCTTACTAATTTTTTATCATCAGAATTATAATATAATGGACCTTTCTTCCACATTGCTAAAGTATAATATTCTAACTCTTTAATGATGATAAACTCATCGTATGATATCCATTCAAATATCTTATCATCATAACTATTAATTTTTAATTGCATTTTTTGAATTAAGTTGTCAATTTTCTCATTTCCACTAGTCAAATTAGTGAAATTATTTTTTAAATGATTTATTTGACATTGTTTACACCATTTATACTCTTCATTATAGTATCCATTGTATTTATTACCACATTTTTCACAATAATTGTCAAGATATTTATTATTAAAAACTAAAAGATAAACTTCTTTATCTGGATTTTGAGATATTCCAAAGATTTCTTTATTTTTTAAATATGATTCGACCTATCAAAATATGGAAAAAATCAATATTATATTGATATTCAAATTTAAATATATAGAAAATTTTAATACCTCATTTAAAAATTCATCAGTTATTTCTTGTAAATTATATAGATATTTTAAATAAACTTTTTTACATGATTTTCTTACTAATTTTTCATCATCAGTATTATAATATAATGGACCTTTCTCCCACATTGCTAAAGTATAATTTTCTAACTCTTTAATGATGACAATTTCATTGTATGGTATCCATTCAAATATCTTATCTTCATAACTATTAATTTTTAATTGCATTTTTTGAATGAAGTTGTCAATTTTCTCATTTCCACTAGTCCAGTTAGTGAAATTATTTTTTAAATGATTTATTTCACATTGTTTACAACATTTACGATAATAATATTCGTTACCACATTTTTCACAATATTCGTCAAAATATTTATCATTAAAAACTAAAATATAAACTTTTGTAACTGGATTTTGAGATATTCCATAACATTTATCTATCTTATCTATCTTATTCATAAATTCGTCAGTTACATTTTGTAAGTCATATAAAAATTTTAATGTAACAAATTCACACGATGTTTTTGACCATTCATGTTGATGTTTACTATAAAATAATGGACCTTCCTTCCATAATGCTGTAGTTAAACAATTATTTCCTATTTCTTTAATATCAATAAGCTCATTATATGGTATCCATTCAAATACTGCTTCACCATCATCTAATTTTTTTTCGACACCATCGTATTTTAATTGCTTTTCTTGAATGAAATTATCAATTGTTTCATTTCCACTGGTCCAATTTGCGAAATTTTCTTCAATAACTTTTTTCCCAGCGGTCAAATCTCTAAAATTAAAAATTTCCATTAAATATTAAAATTTTAAAACGATAAAACGATTGAACGCTAGAATAATAATTTGGTTTAAATAAAAATAGTACAATACTAAATTTGGTTAACAAAGAAAATATGGCGTAATGAAAACCTATAAGCCTTTTATTATTTTTTTTTATTTAAATTACTAAATACGTCGAACCTTAATTTTTTTTTTTATTAAATGGAGTAAAAAAAGTAAAAAACGTACAAAGAAAATGTGACGTAATGATGCACAACGAAAACGCATAAAACAATCATTCATCGATCATTCCAATTAACGTTAGATTATTTTTATTTTGAGTACCAAAAACGTCAAACCTTAATTTTTTTTTTATTAAATGGTGGCGTAAAAAAAAATGTACAAAGAAAATATAACGTAATGATGCACTACGTAAACGCATAACAGATAATTTTTTATTGAACAATCAAATGTATCAATTCACCAATTAACGATACTTACATATTTGTAATTCATCAACAATATGTTAATTTTTGAGAAATAAACTATTCCATTAGTCTTGTTACCAATCTGATAATGAATATAACGACTAAAAATTAAATTTTTATTAATTAATTAAGAACTGAAATTTTGATAAAGCAAAATCATCGAGGGGAAAGTATAATTATTTTCAAACGAAAAAAAAAAGAAATCGATCGCATCGGATAATTGCAATTATCAGTTATAGCCAAATTTTACTTTTTCTTAACCACGTTCTACTTTTTCTTAAAAAAGATCCAAAAAAAAGTGTTAGATTAACCCTATTTTGATAAAAATTATTTAAATTATTGATATTTATTTTACTTAATGTTAATTTTGGATAAGTACTTTTTATATCGATCCTATTTAAAAAATAAATATTAATAAAATCGGGAATAATGAGAAAATGTTCGAATTTTCTTATGAAATTGAAGAGAGAGAAATTATTTTCCAAATTTATTTTAATATTTACAGTTAGAATTTAAATAGAAAAAAGAAAGTGGGCATATGATATTCACTGATAATCTATTATTAGTCTGTATATTACGAATACGATAGTGTTAAAATTTTTGAATTTTACGATGCAATTTTTGTCTAATGCTCGACTCGTTAAAATACGTTATTAACTCGTCGTACAGGAAATTGTCATATTTTTAATGAATTTATTGTATTATTTTTACTGTGTACATATCATTGTGGAAACTACGGGATTATATGACCTGTTTATCATTTACAGTATATTCAAAAAAAAAAATATCAAGCTTGAAATAAAAAAAAAATTTAATATGGGCAGTCTATTACCAATCAGTCTTTGAAACGGCTGAATTTGCATGAGCTGCTACAACTGCAGTTACACACACTAAATAGGTAGATATTATCTAAGCAGCATTACCTATATATGGCTATATAGATGCAAAACATGCAGCGTAACATAACATAATGTGAGTGATTATGACAGATTTCATATTTATTTTTATTCCAGTTTTCATATTTTCAATATTTTAAAAATTAAATTTCTTTTATTTCGGATATATTACATTATCAAAAATCATTTCTTTTATCTAGTCAAATATTAAAAATACATCCTGCTTTATTTCAATGTTAAACTATTAGTTAAAAAATTATTGATAATATCTGATTCTAAAAATCCAAACACCGAGAGCCTAAAGAAAAATTTTAACATTTTTAACGTTGCTGACCTGAAAAACTGCGCCACAAATAGAGTCAAGGAAAAGAACCCGATATTTAAATTTTTTTTTTACCGCTGGACTGATAATTTTGAAATGCAAAAAAAAACTTAAAAACGTTTGATAATTCATATGCAAATTTACAAACGCCAAATGATAATACATACCAATTCGATTGTGATAGCTGCGCCTAAAGGAGTGATACCAAAAATGGACTAAAGGTATTAAAATATTATTGGATGGTCCTGTATCGGTCTTGGGACCGGTCTTCACGGGTCTTCGGTCCAAGATTTGAGGACCGGTCCGGACCGGGACCGATCACATGATTTTTTTGTATCCAATAAAAATGAGCCAAATTTTTGTGCTCATCTATTTCTATTTCGAATTTTTAGTTCGATTTTTTTTTAAAATGTTTTAAATTTTCTAATTTCGAATTTTTTTTTTGAAATTTTCGAAATGAATTTATTTATAATAAAGTTATATAAAGCAGACTTCGGAGATCCACAAATCGTACTTAAAAATGCTTCGTTATTACTATAATCGTAACTTCCCCTATTCCAATTTCCCATTTAAGTTCTTCGCCACTTAATACGATGCTTTTCTTATTTAAATCCCACGGTTAGTTGATTTAATATTTCATTGTTTCTTACTTAAACACATACGCGAACTTCAACCATCAATATATGTGTAAACTACAATGAGAAAAAGTAAAGACTGTTCAGAAGACGAATATAAAGATACTACCGAACTTGAAGGTGGAGAAGAAACTATGGATGATATGACCGAGGACGAACTCATGGCTGAAGACGAAAACGAACTTGTGTCTGAAGATGGAGATGGACTCATGGCTGAAGATGAAGACGAACTCATGACTGAAGATGAAGGTGAAGACAAAGATGAATTTGTGGCTGAGGATGAAGGTGAACTCTTGGCTGAAGATGAAGATGAACTCTTGGTTGAAGACGAACACGTGGCTGATGAACCCGTAGCTGAAGACGAAGAAGAACCTAGGGCTGAAGATGATGATGGAACTAGACCTGAAGTTCCTATTCGGTGTAGTAAAAGAGGGACGCGATCTATTAAATCACGATCACGAAATAAAGGAGGTGCTTCTAAGTCATCCGTATGGGATCACTTTGATACTAAAACGGTTAAATATCCTGGTCGTCCTGTTTGTCGAAAATGTAATACTTTATTTTTGGCTGGATCAGGAACTTCTACTTTAAGAAGACACTTGTCTTCTCACAAAATTCCAGCACAAAAACAGCGCCAAAGAACCATGCATGATTACCGTATTGATCCTCATCCTGAAAAAGAACAGGATGAACGTGATAAATTAGTTGCTAATTGGGTTGTATGTGATATTCAACCTTTTAGCGTTGTAGATTGTGAAGAGGTGGCGACAAATGATTGCTAAATTTGATCCACGATATCGATTTCACAACCGACACACTTTGAAGGACAATATTATAGATTTATTTGAAGAAAAATTAGAAGTTGTTAAATTGGCGGTACAACGGATTCCAGGAAAGGTTGCATTGACTTCGGACATGTGGACAGCATCGAATAGCTCATCTTTCCTAAGTCTTACCATCCATTATGTAGATTCTTCTTGGAAACTAAAAAATTTCCTTCTTGACATCATACCAATTGAAGTTCGACATAGTGGATATAACATGGCGAATGCAATAATGGAGGTTCTTCGTGAATTTGGTTTAGCTGAGAAAACTTTAGCGCTAACAACCGACAATGCATCTTCAATGATTACTTGTGGCGTGTTTATAGTGGAAGAACTTGAAGAAGAATTTCAGAATCTAGATTTCGCCCATTACCGATGTGCCGCGCATATCTTGAATCTTGCAGTTAACAAAGGGTTAAATTTAATTAGTGGGTCTGTTAAGAAAGTAAGATCTCTAATGTCTTACATTAAGTCCTCTCAGCCGGTACGTGACTCGTTAAAAACATTATGTAAGGTAAAGGGAATCGAATATCTAGCACCCGAGCTGGACGTTAATACTAGGTGGAATTCCACCTTCTACATGTTGGAAAAGTGGAAAAGAATGGAGCCTGCTTTGAACTTACTTGCCGCTGATGATCCAAATGTTCGTCGGAGGTATCTTGATGATGTTGATCGTGTTAATGTTGATGTAAGTATCCTTACAGCATATTTTTCAATAGTAATATTGCAGGAACTTACTGTATTTTGACAAAATTAGGATACTATGGTTCTTTTTAAGCCCAATCGAACATGCAACCTGCCTCCTTTCAGCATCTAGTTATCCAACACATGGTGACGTTCGGTTTGTTTTTCTCGGTATTAAGGAGCATTTATCTCGATATATTAATAATGAAAGCTTCTCGCAGTGTATTGTGGCAGATGCAATTTACCAAAAGATAAGTAACTATTGGCCAATTATGAGTGAATCTTCGCAGATTTCTTCATTATTAGATCCAAGGGTGAAATTCTCTGCATTTGAAGATGAAATTGAAAAAGTTAATGCAAAAAATTTGGTATTAAATTTAACTGAATATTCCTCCGCGTTATCACCACTAGCAGAAACTACAACAGGAGAAACTGGAGATGATATTGTAGAGACGCGAAATTTCTTTCGAAATCTACGTAACAACACTGTTATGTTAGTAAATAACAATACATTGGCATCCAGAACACTTGATCATGAAATGGAAAGGTATTTAGCAATACCATTAGAAGACCAAGTTGATCCCCTGCTCTGGTGGCAAGTTCGACGGGAAGAATTTCCAATTCTAAGCCGAATTGCATGAGATTATTTGTGTATTCAAGCCACGAGCGTGGCTTCAGAGCAGGCTTTCTCAGTAGCAGGACTAACAATTTCGCCATTGAGAAATAGACTGGATGCCGAAATAGCTAGAGTAACATTGTGCTTGAAAAGTTGGATTCGTGAAGCCATTTGTTAATTAGTCATTTGGTGAAATTATTGTATTGAAATTGCTACATAGTAATAAATCAAATTTTAAACTTTTAAAGGCACTGATATTTATTTTAAATGAGAATATTTTATTAAATTAATTTAGCGAATTTTGTACATTTCACTTTTATTTTATTTATAATTACAGTAAATAGATCAAAACGAAATGGATTAATTTATAATTCACTAAAACTTAAATAAATTTTTTTAACTATAAACCTAATTAAATGGGTCGTGGGACAAATTTTCTAAATATTAATCGGTCCGGTCCCGGTCCAGTCCGGTTCCGACTGAAAGACCGGGTCTTTTGGGGACTGGACCGGACCGGACCGGACTAATCCAACCCTAATGACGAGGTATTACAAAAAATTCATTGTTATGACCCTTGAAGATTTGCTTCCGGAGGAATCCGCCTTGGTTTATATTGGAAAAATATATCAAAACTCGCAATTAAAAAATTCATGAGGTGTGTAAACTATATATTACATATAACCTTTTTTTTTTAATATTGTTATTTAAATTCATTGTTTTTTTTCAATTCTATTAACAGCAGGAATAGTTAATTCTCTTCCAAACATAATTCAATTTTATAGAGTTACAAACTTAAAAGGTAAAAATAGAAAATAAATTGTTATATTCTAATATTTTTCTCTTTTTAGATGAAATAAATTATTTACTTGTTCTTAAATATGCAGATGGTGGAACATTAAGAAATTATTTAAGAAATAACACTATAACTTTTGAATGGAAGAACAAATTAAGATTAGCTAAAGTGCGATTGTGTGGTTACATTATAACAAGGAAATCATACATGGAGATCTTGTAAGTATATTCATATTATTTAATAATCCATTTATATTTACGTCACTAACACACCTTTTTTTTACAATGATATCTTAATACATAAAGATACAATAAAACTAGATAACAGGAACTGTTGGAGCGTCCGAAGCGTTATAATCACATGAATTGCATGCCATCATTAGTAAACAAAATCACAGCATATTTATTGCCACACGATATACTAGAAAATGATTGGTATTAACGCGTGCGGACAGACAAGAATCCAGAATAGAGTGTACCTAATCATAAGTGTCCTACGCTTACACTTCCGAAAAATTAGCAGATTTCGGACGTTCATTTCAAAAAGGATCAGTTAGTAATACTGAAGCGTGTGGGTGTAATACCTTATATGGATCCTAAATTTTTTGAAGAAAATCATTCATACGGTTTAACCGAAAATCAGATATATTTGGTTTAGAAGTATTATTTGGAATTAACAAGTCGTTTATCTCCATTTGATTTTGAAAATAAAAATCATATTAATATCATTCAAATTAGACAAGATATTCTTTTAAAATGGTAAAAGAGAAATTCCTATTCCAAGCACAACTGATAAATTCGTTTCGCTTTATCAAAGTATGTATAAAATAATTTATTTATGCAATATAATTTTACTTATTTTAAGTACTGTAGAATGCTGGCAACACGAACCATATATTAACCAAGCAATTGAAGAACTTGATAACATTGATTTTATTGATCCTGATATCAATAATGAACGAAAGTGAATCAACAGAAGATGAAGATTCTGACTTGCCAAGTTGTGAAGAATACGATATAAATTCCGTTATAAACGTTGGATAATTTCATTATTTCTTTTGTTTTTTTTTTCGGACAGAGTTTCTCTTGTTTATTACGAACACGTCATTTTTTTTCGTGTTTATAGATTATTTTTTTTTTTATTCGTAATTTCAAAATAAAAAGTAAAAATTTTAAAATTTTAATTAAAAAAAAATCGTATTTAAAATAATTTTACTAAAATAATAATCAAAGAAAATTTGATACAATGAATCTAATAAAATTCAAAACAATTAAATGCATTTAAAATTATTTTTACAGAACAAAATATAGTGTTGACTCGAATTAAACTAAGAAATAGTGCATAAATTTTTTTGTTACAAATTTATTCCGTAATTTTGGCTGCATTTTCTGATTACATAAATAAATTATGAACTAATTAATTTCTAAACACTGAATGTTTTAAATCCTTAATTCATCCGTTTGATGGCAATTACCTCTCGTATAAAAGAAGTTACACGAATGGTGTACGCAAATTTGCCTTGGTTTCCGAGAACTTACCTGAATATTACCATATTCACGTTATTCTATCCTGCAAGAATAAGTTTTATTTCGAATTTATTTTATATCCATAGATTCCAAGATATAATATTTTGTTTTACAAAGCAAATTGATACCCTGTGGAACACACTTTTGAACCTCAACACCAACACTATAATTGGATTAACTATTGGATTCATCATAAATAGAATAAAAATGGTATTGATTATACATGTACTTATACGGATGTATAGCGACAAAAATAAATGAACACTACCCTTTAAAATTTTTCTTGTCAAAATGAGACATTAGTTTACAAAATCTGAAATAGCTTCCTTGCGAATCTGCACAGCTATAGCCAAAAGTATTCATGTCATAGTTTCGTCAAAACTTTCTCCAATAATTTCCTTTTCAGCGCATGGCTTTTATGTTTAGAAAATCTTTATACACGGTAAACTTACTGCAGATACACTAAACTAAATATAATACTGCGCCCCACAATTAATAACTTGACCGTTAGAGTGATTTACCCCAAAAATTTCCACCCCACGTGATTTTTGGCCGGCATTATAGGTCTCGGCCGGCATTAAGAAATTAAGCATGTGACAAATAATGCGTGACAAATAGGATTTTACACACTGAAAAATAGTAAAATGGAAAACAGGAAGGGTGTGACGTGGGGTGGAAAATTTTTGTGGCGATACTAGTGACAAACTTCACGTGAATTATTTTTCCAATTTAGTTTTAGCTGTTAGTATTATAATTGTTTACAAGCGTTACATCCGTAACGATGTAAAACAATTCTTGTGTTCGTATTTATTTTTAGATTTGGGTATGGGAATTAAGTTCGGGATATTACTATAAATAGAAATAGGATTGAAGATCAAAAATTGAGAATTTTATATTTATGAAAAGTGGAAAACGATATTTTCTGAAAGGTAATGAGTGCAAGAAAAAGGTTTACTAAAAGTAAAATTTGTTAAAAATGAAAACGGGAAGACTTCAAAAAGTGGAAACTGAACTTAGAATTAAAATCATTTCTGAATAAATTTAGACTTTGAAAAAAAAGAAATTCGGGATTTATTTTTATTTATAACTATAATTTATAAATTAACTTATTAGGAAATATTATTAAACCAAGCATTATTGTGTAATATCATATTATTAAAAAAAAATATCATTTGTGTTAAGACTGCGGTGGCAATGTGAGTTATCACGGGCGTGGGTCTTATCGCGTAGATTATAAAAATCGTTCGAAATTCCATCATCTCTCTTGCGTCCTTTACATGGTCTATGTATAGAGCAGTATTGTATTTTGTGATTATATGATATATGCTTTTTTTTTATTTATCATCCAAAGAGTGTATTTAATTATAACAAATGGCAAACTCAAACAATTATAACGTTTAAAAGCAAATAAAGCAAATAAGTAATTAAATTTTATTAGTTGCATTATAAAGCTACATTGAAAAAAAAAATACAATTTAAATTTTTACAATAACAATGTAAATTTTTAGTAACCATATGATTTTGTTAAAGTTGTTAATGAATTTATAAATATTACGCAGTTAACTATTTTTGTGTAATTTGACCAACGTTACCAGCTTTCCTATAATACTATCAAAATTAAAATCTTTTCTTATCTTTCTTGAACAATGATGATTGAACTATTTTCCTTGCCATTTTCATTATTACCCTTGGGCTCTTAGAGTTGTATCTGGGAGACAATCATCTAAAAAATTGGACTCATTCCACTTAAACACATCATTTAACTCGCCTAAGATATCCCAAATGTATGTCTGTGTTGTTAAATCAGATTGAGTATGAGAGTCCATATGGAGAAGAATATTAAATACAATATAAGAGCGAAACTCTTGATTGAGGAGATCATCAAATTTCGGCTTTGTCTGAGCGATCCACGTAGTAAAATCAATCATATGAAGACGATCCATGTATAGGTTTGCTTTGTTCTCATAAAAGTATTCCATGAGCCAATATAATTCTACCATTCGGAAATCTTCAACATCATCAAGGTCTTCATCAAGGCTCACTAATTTATTCACTTCGGCAAAAACTTTCATTTCACATACATTCCAATTTAAATTCTTTACCGCTTGTTCATAGTCTTCTTTTGTCATTCTCCTTGTGGGTGCAATCAGGAAATGTAATGCATTTTGGCGTCTGCCAAAAGGAAATCTAAGACTCATTTTATGTGTGTAAATAAAAATTAGTTCTGAAGGAAGTTGCGTATTTTCTGACAGAAAAAAGCATGATAATTTCTCATGACTTTGAGCTGGAACATTGTGGGGTGTATCTGAGGGCACAAAACAGGAAACTCCTCGTATATTTTTATAGGAGACTTCTTCTGAGTAATACATTATGTATCTATCATCTAACTTGTCAAGCTTATAGTCCTGTGGCAAAAGCCCTTGATGCAAGGCATTAATTCGATGAGCTTCCAATGGGATTTGGATAAATCTCATTCCTTTTGTTAATTCTTCCATTTTATAATATTTTTAGCTTTGTAAGGAAAAGAGAGTTAAGAGACAGTAAGAAATAAAAAAGACAAGAAATAACTCTGTAGTATGACTAATACCTTTTATACTTCACATATACTTCACATGATATAAAATCATAATCACATTAATCAAGCTCGAAGCTCACATGACAATTAGTCATTTAATAATTAATATGTAATTGCCATATTAATTAAATATTGCGTATCTCAGGTGTAATCATTTATAGTATATAGTAGTTGTAATTGTAAGTTACGTGCAACTTTTGATTTAATTCCATACTGCGGATATCAGACAAGGTCTTAACAAAAAAACGATGTATTGTACCTGGGGCCCGGGGAGCATCGGTATATATTAGATACCCATGGAATAACAGGCATCTCATTGTGTATGATAAATTAAATCTTATGTTTAGTCGTCAGTGTTTTTTTTAATGATATTATCATAACTGATGATATTTTTACGTAATGACGTATACACCGATGGATTTTATACTTTTTTATACTTTTTTATACCGGTTGAGTAATTACGAAAAAATCCATTCGGTGTATACATACATAATACCGATGGGATAATTACATATTTGTAACCATTAATAATATGTAATCACACCCTTAACTCAATTATTTGTTATTCATAAACTGTATACTCAAAAAATAATTCATTTTTAAATTATTTTATGGAAAATATTATTAAAATTTAAAATCTTGAAAAAAGTATTTTTTATTAAATTAATTAATTAAGCAAATTTGATAACAAACCCATCGAGTAAATAGTATAATTGAAAAAAAAATCGAGATTGTCCGGAGCAAAGTGAAGAATAATCACGATTATAGTCAATTTTTATTTTTCTTAAAAGATNATAAATATAATAACAGATAACGTAAAAAATTCGTTAGAGTCACGTGACATGTGATTATCTCGTGATACAAGCGCGAAAAAAAAAAAATTGATAGAATAAAATTATTTAAATTATTTATTTAATTGAAATTTAATATTAATATAATCAGAATAATGAAAAACTCTCGAAATCGAATGTGAAATAGTAAAAGAAAGTGGACGCATGATTTCATACTAGAAAATCTAGATAGTAGAACAAGAATGTTAATCGCTCTTATAGCAGACATTTATGAAGACTATATTTTTAACTTTCAAATGATCTGTCCATCACCTACGTTAACTAACGTCCTCGCACTTGGTTACGTTCTTTAGAATCAAAAAAAAATAATAAAATTGTTTCCGGTTATTTCTATACCATGAAATGTTCTACTACATTGTTAAAATTATTTTTTGTCTCTGTAGTTCGTTAAAAAGTAACGAAAAGATATTATGAAATAATTATATACAGGTTATAATTCGTATAGAGAACCCTGTTATTATGGACCTTACATTTAAAATTCTCGATTCAAAAAAAGAAACTAACACACGAACATAGTCGTTACGTTATAACCTAAGTTTCAATTTAATGCATCACACAAAATATACACCTTACAGAATTCTATTATATTGCCTTTACGTTCATTATATAAATTCACTTCACCTTCCTTCCTCACATAATAATGTTATCCCTTCAGTAGTTCATTATGTTAACGAAAATATTAGGTTCACAAACTAACCAGCTTACATGCAATTCCCAACAATGTCTCAAATACTTTGTTGTTAGAATTTACAATTCGAGACTTAGAAAAACTGAACATATTTTTTTTCCACTAATAATAAGACAGAAATAACGGGCAGATTAATTCTATTAGCAGATATTCTCCCGATCGATATTTGCCAATAATGCCATCATTGATAATAAAATACCTTTTTTTTTGGTCGATTGATCACACCTGAATGGATGCTGCTTACGTATATGGAATGATATCAAAAAAAATGTTACTAATGAAAGGAATAAAACCGAAATGGTTCACATATCAAGAAGATAATCTTATATTATCCAACAATAGAAGACTAAATAACTCAGATAATATAACCCTATCAACAACCCTTCTATCTTCCAAAAACAAATGAATTTCGTTTTGGTCACCTACTTTCAGGACAACATTTTAGGTAAAATTATAGAAATACAATCACCGAGCGATGGAATCTCGATAACGTATTTGGAACATTAGATAAAAGCGCCGCTAGCAAACAATGAAAATAATCTTATATTCAGTATTCAGACAATGAACGCCATATATTACTCTTTGTCTAGGTTGCCTACCGTTCGCCAACGATATAAATCCAAATCACATGACTACTCTAGTAAAGACAACGAATCCTAATAATCTTGCGCCAAATTTAGCGCAATTTGCAAAATTAGACACCTTTTTTCTACTCTTAGAATAGAACATTAATATTTATTTATAAAAAATTAACGGTTTCCAAGATTTTTCTTCTAATTCAATAGCACATATTATTCAAGATAATTTTCCAATAGTTAAGCTGTATATCCTTACCAAACCATGATTTAGAATTTTATCGGTTTAGAGATTTAACGATTTAGCTGATTTTAGCAAGATTATGCTATAGAAAAAACAGATTCATTTTTTGTTAGCGATACAGATATCTCATGATTTATGTTACGTCTTACATAATAAACCTAAAAATTTTTCTCCATTAAAATTTAAATTAATTATTTTCCTTGCCTAAAAGACGCTCTCGCTAAGTTTGTATCGTTAAGATACTTTAGAATATCTATCAATACCAGGATCAATGAAATCATTAATTGCATTAGGTATACAATATTCTTTATTGTAAAACCAGCATGATAACTAAAATTGTACCAAATACGTGATGATACCTACAGTAAAATTGTCTAACTTTTTTTAACTTCAGAACTTAAAAGCTTGCATGATTCAAGAGAACATAATTTTTTATTATTCCTACTATATTATATAAAAGATTTTCATCTATGTTCTAATTCTTTCACGAATTTTGCATAATGCATTAATCACAGCTTCTCTTCCTTCTGAGGTTGCAAGATCAAAACCATTTAACGGATCACTATCATCTCCTGGATACCTATCTACTGAAATTGACTGCCGACGTGGACAACCTGCAGCAAGTTCATACCAATACTTTTTGGAGATTCGAGCATGGTAAAATGTAACATATGTAAAAACTACACGAATCACATATATATGCATTTCAAAAACCTTTCTAGCAATACGCAAGTTTTCATTCCCACATGCAATTATCTCTCCAGCTATTTGAGATTCCCCATATTCATAGTTTAGTTTGACATTTTTTATATGTCTATCCTATTAAAAAAAGATCATTTGGATTAATGGGACAATGTAAATATGGATTTGTCAAGCAATCAAAAATATTCAGACCTCAATAACCAACACGGCATATTTTCCCAAAAAAATAACGAATTCAGGACGTGCTATCAAAGTTGCACTGCCAACAGTAAATTCGAGCTTTGGACGTAATCTAAGTTTGGATGCAATGGTATCAATAAAATACCAGTATATAACAAACAAAAGATATTTCTACCAATACTAACTCAATCACCATGGGCCATTGATCAAAGTTAACAGTACGAAATATTAAATGGGTTACCAACGCATCAGTAAAAGTTTCAGCCGTGTCTACTTTTAATTCCGAGTTGATAACAGCTTGATGAAGTTTGTAGATGAAGGCTTTAATAATATTATCATTACTTAATTCATTAATATTTAGGTGGAGCTTTTCGAGATCAGAACGTTTGATTTCTGGGAGAATGTACGCTTTCGCCTCTTGCGGAATATTGACTATATGAATTTAAGCTGTAAGTATTGAGTTTATTAAGAGAAACGTTAACATAGCGTACCATTTAAATAAGTAGGAATCACTTCGGCTACACGCCTAGCTGGACGAAAAGTCACATTCAGAGAACGTCTGTCTCGAGGATTGAACAAACTCACAAAATTACTGAGAAAGTTCGGATCACGAAGATGTTCTGAATCTTCCGTACTACCACTACCGGAAGCAATTTGTTGTGTTGATTTTTTACTACCGGAAGCAGATTTTCGTGCTGATTCAGTTTGTGCTGATTCTTCACTATTGGAAGTGTTATGCATTGTATCCATATTATCCTCGCTAGTTTGTTTAGAAAAAACTTTTGATAAAGGAGGTAAGTAAGGGGATAAGTTTTCCATTGATTTTTTTACTTTTTATTTTTATTTTTATTTTTATATCTCCAAGTGAAAACAGGGTCAGTAGTGACTTCAATAGATTACATATTTACATTTTTTTTTTCTGATCACGTGATATAGATTATGTCATGTTTTGTTTGTGTCACTTAAATTTAACCAATTGTAAATTGAGGTCGTTTTAGTTTGAACTTTATGTTATTTAATTTTTTTTTACCTATCACATAGTATAGATGCGTCGGCGTCGCATTTAAATTTCGAACTAAAAAAAGTACTTATCAGTCATTTATAGTCCAATAACAGCTTTGACCCACTAACATGTTTGTTGCCATTTGACGACAAAGCATAATTATTTTTGTATTGGTTGTGTTTTTTATTTATTTCATCAGGATTCATAGATCTAAATAAAATATCAAAAACCACAAGTTCTGGATCACGAGTTTCAACCAAGCAAACAAATTCATCAACATTTTGAATTGGTGAATTTCCTTCTCGTTGATGTTGATAAAGTACCCGTGACATACGTTCCATTTGACTATTAAAAAAATTAGAAAACTGTGTAGATTCTGTTATAATTTATAATATATAGTTAGAAATAAATATGATAATAAATAATGAATAATTAAAAATTCTAATTGTACATTACCTTTATTGCTACCATTTTTTTGTTGACTCCTCCAATTTCTTTTCAAGTTCCTACCTTAATTTGCAATTCTAAATGTTTTATAGTAATTACATTATTCTCTTAATCCCTTTTTTCTTGAATATTCTTTCCATGATAAACAGTATCCTTTGTTGTATCATTACTTCTTTTAAGATCTTTTCATATTGCGATCATAGCAAACTAATTTATTATAATGTTCCTTGCATAATTAATAACAAACTTAAAGTTTAACGGTTAGTAAAGATGCTTTAGGACTCATTTGCGCTTTTGTTAGTGTTTGTGTTTGTAAATATTCAAAATCTCTCTTTATTTTCTCTACCCTTTTTACGATCACATACCCGCATATCGTCCCTTATTATAATTATTCAACATTTAGAATAGTTTGAAGTCCCCCCAAAAAAAAGGTAGATCTAGAAAAACTAAAAGTAGATCTAAGTGGAGCGAAACGTAAAGAATATAATATATAAATTTGAGATTTATGTTTGTTATGTATTTTACGCAAATTTTATAACACGTTATTTTTTTTATTTTTTTTTTATAATAAACATTTAATATAAATTCAATTGAACGTAATCAACCAATCATAATTGCCTTGATGAAACGGTATAAATCAAATTTATTGGTTCAAATAAAATATTCAACGTTCAATATAAAAATAGTTAATTTTGAAATAGGCATAAGTTGATCAATTAATGAATATATAATATTTTTTTTTTCAAGGATTTTTTTTATTTTTTGAAATAAAATGGAATTTTCTCACTATTAATAAATAAGTTCATTATATTTTTGAGTAAATTAAATAGAAGCTAATTAGACATTTTTTTTCTTATGTCCAAAAAATTTATTGGACATTTGAATATATATCCAATTAGATGTCAAACACTGTTTGCTCAGGTTGTTTGTTACTTCTATACTAGGTACTACGTCAATCACAACAAGCTTTGATTTATCAACGTATACGTACTTTTACATTAAAATTTAAAAATCGGCTTTATGAAAACTGAAGATTACTTTTGAAATTTTATGTCCATTTTAAAAAATTATTTGTTTATTGAATGACACACAATCAGTAAAAAATATCAACACTTGATATAAAGATTTCGGAACTTTACGTAATAAAAAATCTAACTTTCATTTTACTCTATATAAAAAAATAAATGTTCGTATAAAAATTTTTAAGATAAAAAGAAAATAACATTTATTTGAAATCATTATAACAAAATTCAAAAAAAAAAGTAATATATGATGAATTAATCTAAGAATCTTGGAAAGTCATCATCGCATTTAAATCACATTCTTTATCGCAATTTGACAAGTCAGAATCTTCAATTTCTATTTCTTCACTCGTCTTTTTTTCTTTAGAATAAAAAACGGTACATACATTATTATTGTTTTCAGAATCAATACTATTAAGTTCTGAATTTACTTGACGAATATTTGGTCGTTTATCTGGTTCGTGTTCCCAACATTCTATTCGTTCAAATAAATCGTTATTAGTTTGCAATAACAAAGAAAATTTATATTACAGTAGTTCAAAAGGAACCGAATTATTTTCATACTTACTTTGATAGAGTTCAATAAATTTAACATTCGTGTTTGGAATAGGTTTTTCTCTTACACCATTAAGAATTTCTAACATGACAACATGATTATCTCTCGTTTCATAATTGAAAGGGAATGAACGACTGGTTAATTCCCAGAATATAACTCCCAAACTATATATATCTGATTTCTCGTTTAATTTATATAAAGTTTTACGATCAAACATTTTAGGATCCACGTAAGGTATTACACCCCATACTTCAGTATTATAACATTTTGAGCCTTTTAAGCATGAACGTCCAAAATCTGCTAATTTTATTGTATCTTTATGTATTAAGATATTATTGGGATGCTAAAAAAAAAAGAATATATTAATAATACAATATAACGAATCAGTAACGCTCTATAATTCATAAATAATATGGATATATTTACAAGATCTCCGTGTATTACTCCTTTATCATTATGTAACCATAAGATCGCACTTGCAATTTCTTTAGCAAACTTCAGTTGGTTCTCCCATTTAAATGTTATAGTATCATCCCTTAAATATTTTCCTAACGTCCCACTGTCCGCATATTCAAGAACAAGCGAATATTGTTTTTCATCTAATGAATATTAAGAATATTAAACATGTAAATATAAATCATTATAAATTTAATAAATAAAATTATTATACCTTCTAATTTTGTAACTCCATAGAATGTGATAATGTTTGGATAAGGACTAATTAAACCCGTTAAACAAATCTACAGGGCAATATAAGGTATTATACAAAAATAACATCTTGGGTGAAAAAATTTAATATATATTTAGTACTGTACCTCATTAATGGCTTCTTTCATAGAACTTTTGACGAGCTTTTTAATTACAACTTTTGTATTCATCCAGTCTACAATATGAACCAAAGCGGTTCCTTCCGAACTAATCTCTGCAAAATTCTTAAAGTCTTGAGGTTCATGACGACGAATTATTTGCAATATCTTATCATCTAATGATATCATCAGGCTATCGTCGGTATACTCTTCGAGGCGCAGCTATTACGGCATTATTATGCACATATATGGTTGGCATAAGTTTTTGTGTACCCATATCTTTGATCGGTCGGTAAGCGACAAAGAAAAACTCCAGCCACGTGATAAAAAAAAAACCATATAAACGCTGGCTTCTTCTGTTGTGGCGCAGTTTTCCATATCGACAATTTTAATTTACAAATAAAATTTTATCAACTGGTGTTTCTTTAGGCTTTCTGAGTTTCTGTATATTGTAGTTGAGGAAATTGATTTTACATAATTTTAAACTCAAAGAACGAAAAGGAATATAATTTTAACACAGAAATAAAAGCAAATTGTACCTTTGTATTAACACAGAATAAAAGAAATGTAAAGCGTATATTGGTATATGTATAATTTTTTAACGAAATTTGAGGTTGAAAAGTTTATTCCCGATGACGTTATGTAATAAAATATTTGAATAGTCTCGGAAAATTCGTTTTTGGAATGGTAGAAGTTAAAATAGTAGAAGCCAAATTACAACAAATGGCCCAAGTCAATAGACCATAACGAAGAAGTATAATTTAACGAGTAACAGACTTGAAAGTTGAAAAGTCGTGTTTCTTTGTATAAATTGCATTCTGTGTATCTAATACCGCAATAAGAAATGTGAATAGCTAAATTATGTAATACAAAAATAGCCCTTTTTTAAATAGATATACTCATTTCTTTATTAGGTATAATTTATATACACAATATATTACAATGAAAATACAAAAATCGCTAGTCAAGATTTAGATTCAGATAATCATATAATTAATAGTAATATTGGTCTTAAACTAAATGTAAAAATCAAGTTTAATTAGTATCAAGGAAAAAGCTGCCGTTACTTATCTACCACAGTTAACAAAGCGAGCATAAATTAACTTTTTTTTATCATTAAACCAACGGTTTATGTGAAAGATAGAGTGAATAAGTGGATTTATTTTAAAGAATTTTTCCAATTTTCTTATTCTTTTATTAAATCGATTTATCATTAGTTGGTAGCGTCAGGTGTTGTAAAAAATTATAAAGCTTTCAGGACTTTTTTTTACCAAGGAAAAAAATGAAAAAAAATAATATAAAATCAATTGAATCCAATAACAGATAAATACAATTTAATAAAATATAACGGATAATAATCAATGAAATAAAATCTTTAATAATATCCTATTTTAAAAAATCCAAATCCATCATTAATATAAATATTATAAAAACATAATTCCCATCTTTGGAGAGTATTTATTATATGAATACTGTAAACTCTCTAATGGTAAATTCCTACTTTTGATGATTTAACAGCAATACTTACATAAATAATATGTAATCAAATTATTCATGATTCGTGAACTGTATACTAAAAAAATAATTTAATTAAAGTGTCAAAAACAATTCTTAATAAATTATTTTATTTAAAATTTAAAAATTTTGTTACCAACTTAATAATAAATATGACGGCCAAAAATTAGATGATTCTTATAAAAAAAGTATTTTTTATTAATGATACAAAATCATCGAGTGTGAATAGTATAATTAATTTCAAATAAAAATGCGAAACAGATTGTCCGGAGCGAAGCGAAGGATAATTATAATTATAATTTATATAGTCAATTTTTATTATTCTTAAAAGATCCAAAAAAATTGTAGAATATAAATTATTAAATTATTTATTTAATTGATCTAATAAATATAATGTTAATACTGTAATAGTAATCAGAATAATGAAAACATCTCGAAATCATGTAAAAATGGTAAGAGAAATTTTCATACTGAAAATCTTAAATGTGATTTGCCGAACTAATGTATGCAGCTGTAGCGTAACATAACAAAATGCGGATGAAATTATATATAACGAATTTCGTACAGCGGTCTTTTTAGTTTTAAAAAATTATATTTCTTTTATTTTGGTTATATTTACATATCGTTAAAATTATATACTTTTCACTTCTTTTATTTTGTCAAATTTCTAAAAACTATCTTTTTTATTTCCTTTAATTGTCATATTTAGAATTATCATTCTTTTATTCTGGTCAATATTAAAAACACATTTTGCCGTTATTTGAGTTATTCCTGTGTTAAAAAATTTATGTTAAAAAATTTATAATTAACTCACATTCCAAAACGAAAGACACTCGAAAGAAAAAACTGCGCCACAACCACCATCAACCCGATATTTAAATGGTTTTTTTTTTTAAAGTGGGCTGAAAATAACAAAAAAAACGGATGAATGTGCATCAATCTGCATCTGCATCATCAAAAACGCCCAATATCTAATTATACTAGCTGCTACGCCTCGAGACCGATACCGAAAGTACGCTAAAGATATTATTAGATGACGTGACGTTACAAATCAAATGTTATGAACCTCAAAACTTTAAGAAACTTACTGAGATTTCTTCTGGAGGATTCGCTTCGGTTTATGCTGCAGACTGGAAAAATGCGACAATATTTGCAATTAAAAAATTTCGCAATAGTTGTTCTATGGAAGAGATTATTAATGAGGTATGATGATTTTTGTTTCCGTAAAATTTTTTTTTTTTTGACATTTAGATGAATCATACATTTTATTTTTTAGGTTTTTTTAACGGAAAAGGTTGATTTTCATCCAAATATAATTAAATTTTGTGGAGTTACGAAATTTAAAGGTAAAGTAATATTGCCACGCAACGTCTTGACATTGTGAAACAGTTCTAGAACTGACCTAGTTGACAACTGCACATTATCACAATCGTTCTGGGTACACGTTTTTTGAATGTCATATAAACAAATATTTAAAAGAATTATATACTTTTTTTAGACGAAAAAAATTATTCGCTTGTTCTTGAGTACGCGAACGGTGGAACATTAGGAGAATATTTAAGGAATAATGCTATAACTTTTGAATGGAAAAATCAATTGGAGTTTGCTAAAGAAATTGCAAGTGCGATTTCATGGTTACATGATGATGATAAGGGAATCATACACGGAGATCTTGTAAGTTATTCAAAATTATTATATTCGCTTTATAGTTTAAGTTTATTTTAATTAATAAATTTTTATTTAGCATCCCGGTAATATCTTGATACATCAACATACGATAAAAATAGCAGATTTTGGATGTTCACGTTTAGACGGATCGGTTATTTATAAAAAAGAAAAAGCATACGGCGTAATGCTTTACATGGATCCCAAAATTCTTAAGGATCACTCAGTCGATTTAACCAAAAAATCTGATATATATAGCTTAGCGGTATTATTCTGGCAGTTAACGAGTTGTAAACCACCTTTCGAATCTGAAACAGAAATTGGTTTAAAGATCCGCATCATTAATGGTCAAAGAGAAATTCCTATCCCAAACACAAATGGTGAATATGTTAAGCTTTATCAGAGTAAGTGTATAATCTTAATAATGATAATATTCTAATTTTTTTTTGTAATAAGAATATTATCTAACCCTAACATGTCTATTTAAATAGAATGTTGGGAACTTGAACCAGATGACAGGCCAGATATTTCCGAAATAGTTACTATACTTAAAAGTATTAGCCCCGAAAAAAATAATTCAATCGCCAACTTTGAAGAAAGTGAAATAATAAAAGAATTAGAAAACTATAGTTTGTCATGTCAAGTTTGAATATCGAATTAGAAATTAGTACTAGACTCTTATCTTCACCGTTTTATATGTAATTTTCGTTTTTTTTTTGGTATTATGACGTTAACAGATATTAGACAAATAAAAGAAAATACATGAACGAAATAATATTTTGTGAAAAATAATGACATTGTAATTATTATCTTGTTTTCCTTGAGATTCAAACAACTCTACGTTATTTTTGAAACCGTCAACACATGGAAAGAGTTTCCAATAATGTTACTTTATTTTATCATATTTAAAGTCAAATTAGGTATAACACACTGTTATTATTTATTAGAAACAAGAAATGAATCACATATTTTTTTTTAGTTTATTGTATCACAGAGCCTAATACTCTGAGATATCATTTCCTGAACTTATCCATTTAGTGGCAATAAAGCCACTTATAATCTTTCTTGCGGTACACATGATCTCAAGTTTTCATTTTTTTTCCTCTCGCATATATCATATATAATTAATTTCAAATGAAAAAAAAATGCGAAATAGATTGTCCGGAGCGAAGCGAAGGATAATTATAATTATATAGTCAATTTTTATAACTCTTAAAAGATCCAAAAAAAAATGATAGAATATAAATTATCAAATTATTTTATATTTAATTGATCTAATAAATATAATGTTAATAATAGTAATCAGAATAGGCGGTCTTTTCTTTTATTTTGGTTATATTTACATATCGTTAAAATTATACACTTTTCACTTCTTTTATTTTGTCAAATTTCTAAAAACTACCTTTTTATTTCCTTTAATTGTCAAATTTAGAAATAATCATTCTTTTATTCTGGTCAATATTAAAAACACATTTTGCCGTTATTTGAGTTATTCCTATAAGTTAAAAAATTTATAATTAACTCACATTCCAAACGAAAGACACTCGAAAGCCTAAAGAAAAAACTGCGCCACAACCACTATCAAGGGAAAAGAACCCGATATTTAAATGGTTTTTTTTTTTAAAAGTGGGTCGAAAATAACTTCTGTTTATCAATTGCAACATACACAACATACGCCCGCATCAAAAAAATCGCCATAAAAAAATGCCCGCATCATCAAAAAACGCCCAATGTCTAATTATAGCAGCTGCGCCTCGAGACTAATATCAAAAATACGCTGAAGATATTATTATTAGATGATGTGACGTTACAAATCAACTGTTATGAACCTCAAAATTTTAAGAAACTCGCTGAGATTTCTTCTGGAGGATTCGCTTCGGTTTATGCTGCAGACTGGAAAAATGCGACAATATTTGCAATTAAAAAATTTCGCAATAGTTGTTCTATGGAAGAGATTATTAATGAGGTATGATTTTTTTTTACGTAAAATTTTTTTTTTTTACATTTAAATAAATCATACATTTTTTTTTTTTTAGGTTTTTTTAACGGAAAAGGTTGATTTTCATCCAAATATAATTAAATTTTGTGGAGTTACGAAATTTAAAGGTAAAGTAATAATTCTATAGTTAATAAAAAATATCTAGATGATTGGAGATTATTGTTGCACGCAACGTGTCCCTTTATACTCTTTGACATTGTGAAACAGTTCTAGAACTGATCTACTTGACAACTGCACATGATCTCAATCGTTCAGAAAGATCTGGGTACATATTTTTTGAACGTTATATAAACAAATATTTAAAAAAGAATTATATACTTTTTTTTAGACGAAAAAAATTATTCGCTTGTTCTTGAGTACGCGAACGGTGGAACATTAGGAGAATATTTAAGGAACAATGCTATAACTTTTGAATGGAAAAATCAATTAGAGTTTGCTAAAGAAATTGCAAGTGCGATTTCATGGTTACATGATGATAAGGGAATCATACACGGAGATCTTGTAAGTTATCCAAAATCATTATATTCGCTTAATAGTTTAAGTTTTATTTTAATTAATAAATTTTATTTAGCATCCCGGTAATATCTTGATACATCAACATACAATAAAAATAGCAGATTTTGGATGTTCACGTTTAGAGATCTGTTTTGGTTGAAAAACTCTTTCTGACGATCATTCTGCCCAAATTTTCAGCGGAAAGAAAAACGTCTTTTATGAGTTTTTTTTATTAATAAAACCTAAATAAAAAACCTCAAAAATGGAGTCAGCATACAAATTTACAGAATATAGATACAGGTTTCTAAAAGAAACAAAAAATATTTCTAGTGCGAACTCAAGGACCTCAACAAAAAGTCATGAAAAAGCACCAAGAGACGGGGGTCTCAGCAAAACTGAACAAAACTTCCTGGAGTCAATACGGAATGACGCTGTACGCAGAAAAGAAACTATAAAAGATATTGTTTTAAAGTGTTCAGCAGTGTCTTTCGACGTCTATATAGACGAAATAAAAAGACTCTCATGGGAAAATTCAAAACTGCGCGAAGAACTGCAGAGGAAAGACCACGTGATGGATAGAAAAGTCAATGAGGAGAAACAACAAGCACGAATAATATCGCAGAAAAATGAGCAAATAAAGAAAATTTCGCAAGAAGTGGAAAAAACGAGATCAGAACTAAAAAAGGTTAAAACAGGCGTCAACAAAGAAATCGATCAGCCGAAAAAATCTAAAAAAGGCCGATCTACATCAAACAGGAGAAAACGGGAAGAAATCCTAGAGATACCAGTTTTACCCGAAAATACCAGAAATGATCAGCAGGCCAAGGAGGCACATGACATATTTTTCTACGATATACCAAAATACTGGAGTGAGGATGATGTAAGAACAAATCTGATGAAGATAGGAACAGTTTATAGATTGCAAATTCGAGGACAATATAAATACAAAACCGTTAAGGCAAAAATCGCTTTGAATGAAAATTTTGAAAAAACGTTCTTGGATGGACATTTCAGTATTTGTATTAGCAAAAACTTTATCAGATGGTATGACGCGAAACTAGGTTTGAAAGGACGACAAGAGCGAGACCAATGGCAGACTGTGAGAGACCTAACTAACGAGGAAATGGAATCCATAAAGAAGGGGAATACATACGACTTCACGAAAAAACTGCAACAAACTTCCAAGACAGCGTTCATTAAAATTATCAAAATCACAAAAAATTGGAAAGTGATTGGATATTTCAAGAACCTCAAAGAAATGGGAGAGGCAGTGGAGGATTCATGCACACAAGGAGATATCAATAGAGTTTGGTTAGTGAGAAATAAAAAGACGATATATAAAGACGGTGATGCCAAGATAGAGACGAAGAAATTACACGAGAAGAAGATCGTTCAAGAAAAGGAAACTGCTACGGATAACAGGACGAACCCACCTCTATGACTGGCCAGTGAACCGAAGACACCTATGACACCACCGGAGAGAATTTACAGAGAATTAGGGAACTTTGCTTCGCGACAAGAAAGCTTACTACATCCATCAAAAGCGGAACAGGATTCAAGGATAAGTAAGACGCCAGACGAAAATGAAGTTGTTGAGATGATCAAAAATTGGAGAGTAGGAGAGAATACTCATGACCATAACGACACTTCAGAAAACAAGGGGAAACAAGTACTGAAGAAAAATAACGTAGCGCCAGAAGAAGTGGTCGAAATCATAAAAGATTACAGAACGAACAAAATTAAATACGTTCAGTATCAAGAATCAACCACCGACAGTGAGAACCTGATGAAGAAATTGGACGAAGTGAAAGCGATCTTCAATCAAACGTCCAACAAAATGGGCCTTTTTCGAATTTCAGGAGGAGATAGGGGTAGAGGATTTCATGGAAACAAAGAAGCTTGCTTCGGAATATAATAATTTTTTCCGACTAGGACATAAAATTATAAGTTTAGCAGAAAAATCAAAAATATTCGAGGAATATACAACCCTAAACGACAATTTTAAACAAAGATTGGAGAATGAAAATCGATATCAAGACGAAAAGAAGACGGGAGAAAAAAGACCAATGTTAGAATCTCCGAAGAAAGAGGAAGAACCCTTGGATTCAGACTATGTTGATGAAGAGAACAGTACTATTCCTGAAGAAGAATACTGGACAGCAAATTATCAACAAGAGAACACACAAGTAATCCAAGAAGTTACGTTTACGATGCGCGACGAAGATAAAGAAGATGAAGCAGAACCCAAGGCATCACCACCATTAAAGAATAGTGGAAAGAAAAAGAAGAAGAAGAAGAATAACAAGAAGTAAAGAGAGTGGAAGAGTTTTACGAGGAGAAATGAATTGCATTTTTAATCAAAGTCACATGATTCATGTAAAAAAGATTCTGATAACAAAAATTAACAACAAAATGTATTTTATTTCGATTTGTTTAATTTAGTTTAGAATACTAACTTTTATTTTTTGTAGGTATAAGGGGGATTTGGTGGAATAAACTGTTTGGGTGTGAGACCGTTGGGGCTCATCTTTAGAAGCTGCACATGGCAGACTCGAACTTTATATACACATTTCACTTTTACTCCCACATTTTAAAATTAGAATTCAAATAGTTAGGTTTCAAAAATCAAATAGTCTGTTAATTTTAGTTTATTTTATTTTATCGGATATAGTATTTATTTTATTATTTTCTGTAATATATTTTCGTAGTATAGCTTAGAACTCTGTTATAGGGTTGACATGGTGTATAAACATGTTGGCTCTATGTATCTTGTACTTTAGGGTAGTCTATAGACACCAGACCTTAATAAAGATGCGTTACAGCNAGCAGATTTTGGATGTTCACGTTTAGACGGATCGGTTATTTATAAAAAAGAAAAAGCATACGGCGTAATGCTTTACATGGATCCCAAAATTCTTAAGGATCACTCAGTCGATTTAACCAAAAAATCTGATATATATAGCTTAGCGGTATTATTCTGGCAGTTAACGAGTTGTAAACCACCTTTCGATTCTGAAACAGAAATTGGTTTAAAGATCTGCATCATTAATGGTCAAAGAGAAATTCCTATCCCAAACACAAATAGTGAATATGTTAGGCTTTATCAGAGTAAGTGTATATAATCTTAACAACAATAATATTCTGATTTTTTTTTTTGTAATAAAAAATATTATCTAACCCTAATATGTCTATTTAAATAGAATGTTGGGAACTTGAACCAGATGACAGGCCAGATATTTCCGAAATAGTTACTATACTTAAGAGTATTAGCCCCGAAAAAAATAATACAATCGCCAACTTCGAAGAAAGTGAAATAACAAAAGAATCAGAAAACTATAGTTTATCATGTCAAGTTTGAATATATAGAATTTTTATATAGGTTTATATTTAATCATTAAACCAGTTATGAATAATCATTTTCGAATTTCAAGTTAGGCCAATTTTTTTTAATTAGATTTTAGCTTTTACAGTTGAAATTCTATCACTTGACATCAAAGTTCTGCACAAAAATTTCGCTGATCGGCAATTCCTTTGCTTTATGCAAATCCTTTTTGTCATAACAATCTTAATGATGATCCTTTCATATGATGATTATATATCACATGATATATATCAATATAGAACATTTCTTACCTTCACCGTTTTATATATCATTTTCGTTTTTTTTTTATATTATGATGTTAACAGATTTTAGACAAATAAAAGAAAATCATGAACGAAATAATATTTTGTGGAAAATCATGACATTGTAATTACTATCTTGTTTTCCTTGAGATTCAATCAACTCTACGTTATTTTTGAAACCGTTAACAGATATTTCACATGGAAAGAGTTTCCAATAAAATAATGTTACTTTATTTTATCGTATTTAAAGTCAAATTAGGCATAACACACTGTTATTATTTATTAGAAACAAGAATTGGATCACATATTTTTTAGTTTATTGTATTACAAAGCCCTATATAATGATTGATAATACCGAGATGCCATTTCCTTCTGTGCATTGAACTTATCCATTTAGCGGCAATAAAGCCGCCTATAATCTTTCTTGCGATACACATGATCTCAAGTTTCATTTTTTTTCCCTCGTATATACATCCTGAAATTATCTAATTCGTAACCCTGCTATAAGGTTGTAATCCTCTACGTAAGTTTACATAAAATTCACAAAATCTGATCCTACGCATATTTTTCACAAATTTAGTTAATTAACATAAGTTTATTCCCCGTCGCAGAGTTACGTCCAAAAAAAAAAAATGTCATGCGGAATGCATTGCATCACAGCATTTCTATATCAATCACAACTTACTGTATGAATAACCATTATAAGAAGATGCGTTACTAACTAATGATTATGCAGTTACACTATTTCTACGAAGCTCTAAAGAGAATTAAATTTATAGGTTATCCTATATTATTTCGATATAACGTTATATTAAGGTTCAATAGAATATAAAGGACGTATAATGGTACTGGACTATGATCGAAAATAGTACTGTAATAGAATACAAGTCAATCAACTGCAGACAGGAAAGTATTTGTCGAAATAATTTCTGGTGCGCAGAACCTTCACTAGAATAGCATTTTTATCATATCATATGACGTTCCCGTATAAATGTATAATGGCACGTGACTATTAAATATGGGATGAAAAAAACCTAAAAAATGTTATAATTTATATAAATATCAAAAAAAAAAAAAAAAAAAAATTTATGTAAACAAAATCATACCTCGTTAATAATCTCTTCCATAGAACAACTATTGTGAAATTTTTTAATTGCAAATACTGTCGCATTTTTCAGTCTGCAGCATAAACCGAAGCGAATCTTCCAGAAGAAATCTCAGTAAAACTTTGAGAATCATAACAGTTAATTGAACGTCACGCCATTTAATAATATCTTTGACGTATTTTCGGTATCTGATTCTCAAATTACTGAGGCTGCTTCAGAGGATCCGCCCTAGTTTATAATGTATATTGGAAAAGTACATTAAGATTTGCAATTAAAAAATTCGTTAAAAGTTTCAAACAAAGAAGCCATTGTCAATGAGGTGCGTTACTGATATAGTCTTTATTATATAACTTTTTTGATAGTTAATATTTACAGTATATAATAAATTTTTTTTTCAAATTCATTTAACGGGATTGGTTAATTCTCATTAAATATAATTCAATTTTATGGAGTTACGAAATTAAAAGGTAAATTTAGTAAATTTATATGAAGTTATTTATTTACACTTTTTATTTTATTCTTCAGATAGAATGAATTATTCGCTCGTTCTTGAATATGCACTATGCAGATGGTAGAACATTAAAAAATTATTTTGAAAACAATATTATAACCTTTAAATGAGAGAGCGAATTGCAAGTAACATGATAACACTAAGGTTACACACGGAGATCTTGTATTCTTTTTGCACCCTAATAATATTTTATACAGATTTTGTCAAAACAAGATCAGCTAATCATACCGTCTAAACTTTTTTGAAAAAATCATTCGCCGTATGATTTAACCAAAAAATCAGATATATGGTTTGGGAGTATTATTCTAGTCGTTTATCACCGGTTGATTTTGAAAATAAAAATTGTTTTGAAATCATTAAATTAAGCAATAATAAACAGAGAGAAATTCCTACTCGAATCACAAATGATAAAATTCGGTTCGCTTTATAAAGTATGAATAAAAGTATAATTTATTTTTTGCAATAAGATTTAATTAATACAATTTATTTATATAAATAGAATGCTGGCAACACGAACCAGATGAAAGGCCATATATTAACCAAGTAATTCAAGAACTTGATAGTATTAATTCTAGTGATCCTATTGATTCTGAAACAATAATGTATCAACTGATCTTAATTCTAACGAAAGTGAATCAAGTTGTGAAGAATATGACATAAACTCCGATAAATAAAATATAAATGTTTATAGATAATTTCATATCATTTCTTTTTTATCTATTTTTCGGACAGAATTTTCTTTTTTGTTACGAAAAGTCGAAAATTACCATATTTTTTTCATGTTTTATAGATTATTATTTGTAATTTTAAAAATAAAAATAAAAAATTTACTTAAAAAAAACTATTCAAAATAATTTTAATTGAAATAATTAATAAATTGATATCATAACAAAATGGACTATTTTTTATTAATCAAACTCTACCGAGTTAAACAGAAATTTACACGTCACTCATTATCTTATTTGAATTTATCAAAAGATTTATTCAAATTAAATTGATCATAAATAAACTTTTTTTGTAATTTTAAACACATTTTATTTAATTTAGGGAAAATGTATACAGTATCTCGCCCCCAGTATGATGTTAAAATCTCGCCTTCTGTAACAAAAAAAGAAATTTTTAATATACAAACTTTTTTAAAAAATATCTACTATGTGTATTTTCCCCTGCTTTACAAATTTACTTAAAGCATCAGAGATGGCTTTGAATGTCATTTTTGACTTATTTATTTATTTATTTATGTGAAGAATAGCAGGAACATCAAAAGTCATTTTTGACTTATTTGACAAAACTTTTTTTTCGGGTCTTTTTCCGTTTAATCACGTGACGTATTTAATTCTGGTCAGAATTAAATGATCGGCATACAAAATATCCTTTTTTGGAATAAAGGCGAGATTTAAACATCACACATGGGTGCGAGATCATTTATTTAAATGATCCTTACATTCTTTTAAGACTAAGCGTGAAGAGGTAAAAAATATATTATTATTTTTTACATTAAAGACCGATTCCATCATTAATAAAATTATTATTATATAAATACTACAAACTCTTTACTTTCTTTGATTTTAATAAAATTAAATTCTACTTTTGATTTAACTTAACAGCAATACTTACATATTTGTAATTATTATCAAGCTTCAACCAATTATTCGTTATTCGTGAACTGTATACTCAAAAAATAAATTAGTGTCAATAATTCTTAATAAATTATTTTATTGAAAATATTATTAAAATTTAAAAATCTTTGTAACCAACTTGACAATGAATATGATGTCCAAAAAATTAGATATGATTCTTATATGTAAAAAAAGTATTTTTTTTATTTAATCAATTAAACAAATTTTATAACAAAATCATCAAATGTAGTGCTCCTACCAGGTCGGATTCGGTCGGGTTTGGAGAATATATCCGACTCGACCCGGCAAAAATAGAAATAATCCGATTTTAACCCGACCCGGGTATATTTAATTCGAATAACCCGGGTTAGACCCAAAATTTTCATTGGATAATATACTGTATGTTTAGTAATATATCAAAAATATTTTTTCAAATATAATTTTTTCAACAACGCAAGGTAATTGATCTTACAAGATGATCATATAGGTCACACAACTTCTTATTATTAAAACTAAAGCTAAGCACGAATTTAAAGATATCTTCAATTACTGTTTATTTATTGCTTTACATTTGAACTATAAAATCGAAATTATATCACTTGCTTTAACAGAAATTTGACTATATGTCTGCCAGGACTTTAAACACATGCATGCTCTAATTGTATCTGCTTTAAGACTACATCTTTTTGCAGCTATCAAATCGGTTCCACCGGAAAATACTCTTTCTACTGGAACGCTGGTTGCTTTATTAATCATCAAAATAAACTTATTAGTTAATGTAATGTTAATAATTAATAATAATAATTCATACACATACCTGTAATTGCAAGGTGTCTCTAGCAATTTTCGCTAAGTGAGGATATACTACCTCATTCATCTAACATTAACGCGTAATCAATATGTGATCAGTGATTTTAATGATCATCCGGGTCTAATTCGGGTCAAAACCCGAGTCCAGGAAATGAATAACCCGACCCGATGGGTTGGGTCATGCAGGTCACGGGTTATTAAAATTGTTAGTACCGACCCGATTTAAAATTCACTCGGGTTGAATTATCCGGGTTAGACCCGAATTTTGCGGAGCACTAATCAAATGTATAGTATAATTAATTTCAAATGGAAAAAAAACGAGCGAATCGAAGAATAATTACAATTATAGTCAATTTTTATTTTTCTTAAAAGATCTAAAAAAAATGATAGAATATAAATTATTCAAATTATTTTAGTTCGATCTTTTAAAATAAATAAAATTTAATATTAATATGATCGCGTAACACAACATGTGGTGAATTTCATGTTTCATTATTTCAGTGTTTCTTAAATTTTATATTTCTTTTATTTCAGTTATATTTACACATCATTAAAATTATTTCATTTCAAATTTCTAGTGTTAAAAACTACCTTCTCATTTCCTTTAGTCATCATATTTAAGTATCAAAAAATCATCATTCTTTTATTCTGGTCAATATTAAAAACATATTTTGCTGCTATTTTGCAATTCCCGGTGTTAAAAAAATTATAAGTTAAAAAAAATTTTTTATAATTAACTTACATTTCAAAACGAAAGACACTCAAGAAAAAAAAAACTATGCCACAACAAGAGAACCCGATATTTAAATGGTTTTTTTATCGCTATGTATTATTTTATTAATTACTAGTGTTATAATTATTAATACTTATAAAATAAACGCGTTTTATTATAAACAAAAATTGGTACAGCTTTTGTAAATATTCCATGCCAAAAATATTAGATTTTTTATTGTTTAAAAAATATTTTAACGTGAAAAGGGGAAGAAGTGCGGTTTTGCGTATAGTATAGTGCACGTCATCGTTCGCTACATAAATAATCCAATGTCGGACAACTTCCCGATAACCTTTTTCCCGACATACCCTTTGCCCGACAACGATTACCCGACAAGACATATTCCCGAATGTATATTTTACCGACATGACACATTCCCTAATAGACATTATACCTACATGTTAGTTTTCCCGACATGACATTATCCCGACAACACATATCCCAACAGAAATTTCCCGACATGTTGAGATGATTTACAAAAAGTAATTTATTATAATGTATCATGTTTATAAATATAAATATAAATGACTGTTATTAACAGTTCTTTATTTTCCTTTTTTTTCAATGTGATTTTTCACGACCAGCATGGTTTATATATATATATATTTATTTAATAATTATTTCATTTTTTTTAATAATTTTTTAAAACCGTTTTAATTTACTTTTTTATCTAAATTTATTTTTAATTTATTATCATTTTTTTTAAAAAATAACTATTTTATAACAATTTTTTTTTTAAAAAAANAACCGTTGTACTTTATAAGACATGGATATATTTAATAAGACAATTGTCTTATGGCAAATTCTTTTTTAAAAAGTTGTTAAAAAAATAACTGGAAATAAATAAATGCAACTAAAATAAATTTTTGTAGGGACACAACGGGTTGCTGCAAGTTATTTTATTAAAAATTTGCACTATTAAAATGAAATATACAGTGTACATGAAATTGCGAATTTTTACTAAAATAAATATATGAATAAAAAAAATTTTCTCCATATGTTTTATTTTAAATAATTGGGAAATTCGGGAAATCGCTTTTTTTAATGTATATGTCATGTCGAGAAAATGTCTGTCGGGAAATGTGTTGTCGGGATAATGTCATGTCGGGAGAACTAACATGTCGGTATAATGTCTATTAGGGAATGTGTCATGTCGGTAAAATATACATTCGGGAATATGTCTTGTTGGGTGATCGTTGTCGGGCAAAGGGTATGTCGGAAAAAAGGTTGTCGGGAAATTGTGGTGTAACCAAATAATCGACTTACCATATATCATATTATTTCTGACGATTATTTATTATAAAAAACAACCATATTTTTTCGCGTTATTATTCTCCTTTTTTTTTTATTTGTAATTTCAAAATAAAAATAAAAGTTTTTAACTTAAAAAAAAACTAATATTCAAAATAATTTTTTAAATAATTTATATTATGATCAATAATCTGCCAAAGAAAATTTGATGCTATGAATTTAATAATTAAAGGCTATATATTTTCTTAATTTTAAATATTTTTTTTCTTTCTACTTTATTTTTTTTATACAATAATTCTTTTACTTCATCTTATTTATTTTCAATAAAAATCTTCAATATTAAATATTACTTTAGAAATTGTTAATAACCACTTAATCAATTTACTACTAGTAATCTTGGAATGAAAACGCATTTCTAACTTTATTTATTATTCTACCGGCTGCGATAAAAATATGCTATATAGCGCTGTACAATTGGATAAAAAAATATTGTTACATTAGTGGCTTCTGTGTCATTTGTAAGGTGTGTCGTATAAAAGTGACAAATAATATTTTTTCTTATTCTTAAGCGGATAAGTAGAAGAGCGTGATATATTGTGTTAATAGCCAATATGACATATAACTCTGTAGTAAAGGGAATTTACTGCTTCAGAAAAAATCGAAATCATTAATTTTATATTCAATGTGTCAAATTAAATACTATCCCTAGTCTTACTGTATATACTATCATACTACTAAAACTTTTTAAATATTAAGGAATTAAAAAAAAAATTTTTTTTGAGCACGTAAATGCAATAATTTTACGTCTGAAAAATTTAATGAATGTAGTGGCCCGAATAACACGTGACCTCATTTTGGCCACTGATCAGTCTGATCATGGCTATGATATTTTTACCACCATAATGGCTTAATGATTTCACCAGTTTGTTATTGCAATCATTTTTCAAGAAAAACATAGACGAACGGCACAGTGGCAAAGCCTGCTAAGCCATCACAATAGCATAATGCATAATACAACGAGGATGGCGCAGCTTCGATAATCAATGAAGATCATTGAAGAAAAAAGTGCTCTCCAGACGAATAGCAGATCAGATGCTGGAGATCATCTATTCAAAAGCCTTATATTTTCAGGGGCAACGTAATAACGTAATAACATGCCACGATTTAATCCTGCATCAGCAATCCTTTTAGTTAACTAATTCTAAGCATCCAAACTTATGACTTCGCTAAGCAGTAAGCCTCTATACCGATTTACATGTATACATCAATAATCTTTTTAAATGAATTTTTTGATTAACTGATTCTAAGCATCCAGACTTATGACTTCGCTAAGCAGTAAGCCTCTATACCGAGTTATATGTATAAATCCTGCATCAATAATTCTTTTTAATGATTTTTTTTGATTAACTGATTATAAGCCTCCAGACTTATGACTTCGCTAAGCAGTAAGCCTCTATACCGATTTATTGTATAAATACATCTTAACTAAAAATTTCTTTTCCACAAAAAAAAAAAAGTAAAAAATCAATAAAATGAAATTTATCTTACTTTTACTTTTCCTTCTTTTAAACATCCTTACTGATGTTGCTCAAGGAATCGTTATAATACCAACTAAAATTCAATTAAGTAATAGTAATCTTTTTTGGGCATTAGATGGTTCTAATGTTATTTTAAGCCCAAATGGTATCAAATGGGCAATTTATAACAATGAAATCTCACCTTATGGTAATGACACGGTCGCCGTCCAATACCAAGGTCCTGGCAAACAACTCGCTATAGCAAATAAAGGTGGACCTGTTGAAATATTGGAAAAATGGGATGTCGGAAGCATTATAGAACCTCAAATTATTCCCAATGTTACCATTTGTTCCATACCAGTCCCTAGTGAATGTGCAACAGCAGATGGAATGAAAGTTATTGCTAATGATAAACATACTGCTGGTGACCCTAATCAGTTGTGGACATTAGAGAGTCATTTTTAATTATTTTAAATGTACAATATTGATAAAATATATAGTGTGGGCATTTTGTATAGTATATAGCGTAGATGTGTAACTTGCATCAAAAAAAAATAAAAATAAAAAAATCTATGCCAATTTTTTTATATTTTCAAGTCAATGAAATTTTGTCACGTGGTCTTTTTATTTATACTAACTTGAAATTTTAAATAAAGCTGCATCTTAAATAAATGTGATACAAACGGATTAAAGATATTATTGGGTGATGAGATATTACAAATAATTTATTGTTTTGATCCTCAAGGCTTTAGGATTCTTGATAATATTGCTTCTAAGCTATCCTCTTTGTTTATAATGTATGTTTGGAAAATCATAACATTTGCAATTAAGACATTCGTCAAAGATGTCAATAAAGAAGCAATTATTAATGAAGTGTATTAACTATACAGCTTTTTATCGTAAATAGCTTTATCAAATTCACCATTTTTATTTCATGTAACGGGAATTGTTAATCCTCATCCAAATATAATTACATTTTATGGAGTCACGAAATTAGATGAAATCAACTATTCGCTTGTTTCTTGAATTTGAACATTAAAAAGTTATATGAGGGAAAATATCATAACCTTTAAATGGAAAAGCTAATTAGCGTTTGCTTAAGAAATTGCGAATACGATTTCCAACTTTTTATTATCAGTACTATGAGATAATGAACCTTTCTCTAACATTTCTAAAGTAGTATATTTTTCTAACTCTTTGATGACGATTCAAATGGTGTATCATTATATCTATTATATCTATTAATTTTTTAATTGCATTTTTTGATTAAAGTCAACAAGTTTCATATTTCTACTAGTCCAGTTTGTAAAATTATTTTTTTAATTGATTTATTTAACATTGGTTACACCATTTATAACTTTTTATCTTCGTATTTTGTTACCACATTTTTCACAATAAGGTGAACGCAAAATTATAAATTCGGTTTTCATATCCCGGCCGGGTCGGATAAATCACAAATTCAAAATTTTAATTTTTTTATATTAAGATAATTGGCCAATAAAAATAGTTTATACTTTATAATATCATGTGATAACCGCATGTATTACAGAAATCAATATAAATTGAGACAGACACATTGCTTTAAAGAAAATTTCTCATTCTAGTAAATGTAAAAAAAGATTAACAATTTTATTTATTTATTTTATTAAATATTTTACAATTGATTTCCCACGCCAAAAATTTAATAATTACGATATCATTAACCTAAAACTTTTAACATATGAAAATTATTAATCAGATAGCTAAATTTTATTGGTTAAAATTTTTGAATTTTAAAATAAAAATCTGGGCGACTGGGTCAAAATAGAGTTACGATCTCATCCGATCTGGTCAGATGACGGATGACTGGGAACATCCGTCAGATTAACTTTTGAAATTTTTTTTTAAAAAAATTTTTAGATGGTATGTTTTTGTGTTTTTTTTTAATTAAGAACATTTTTGTGGGTTAGGCAAAAAATGTCTTTGATCTTAATTATATAGAAGAATTCCATTAGAAAATAAATTAACCTGCCGATCCATTTTTTTTTCACTTTTTCAATAAAATAAATAAGAGCGATTTTTTTTATGTAATAACAAAAAAAAATTGTTTTTCATTAATAAAAATTTAAAAATTATATTTAATTAAAAATCATTATTATTTTTCAAAATTAATGGTTGGATTGCGGCTGTGAAATTCCATGGAATTTCTGCGATTAATCCAGGATCAGATGATTCAGAATCAGATCATCTGTTTCATCCGCGGATGAATCCTGTCATCTGATCTGTCAGATCGGATCCATCTGATTCATCCGTCGGTCGGATTTAAGTTTATTTTTTTCTAAACTTTTGGCCCGGGTTTTTTGGTCGAACGCCAAAAAATAACCAACCAAAATTAGATAATTTCTGGAGTCGTCATCTCTTCGCGTGACAGGGCTAAAATATATCAATATAAGGAGATTTCAATCTAAAAGCAGTTTTTATTGGATAATTTTTGTACAGCAAAATCCGACTGAAAAATGTGACCGACCGGAAATGAACAGGGCTATTGTGATATGAAAACCGAATTTATAACTTTGCGTCGCCTAATAGTATCATTATTTTAAATAAAAATAGCACAATACTAAATTTAACTAACGAAGAAAATATGACGTAATGATGGACTCGTAGATAATCACAGTATTAATGTTTGATTATTTTTATTTTGAGTTATCAAAAATTGATTTTTTTTAGGTCTGTTTCTATTTGTACACTATGTAAACACAAGTCGCATGATTGTCCATGATCACATGGCTTTAATTAATTTTTATTATAAGCTTCGAAAAGTAAAATTTCCTAACAAATTACCCCTATCCTAATCCTACAACAAATTCTAAAGAACAAATGGTCTTTAATGAAATTCTAAATAAGTTTAGAGTAATGTTCGTACTGATTTCATTTCCACGCTCGCGCCCTTTTTATTGATAATACTGCTATTACCACCTTCTACATTTTGTCATAATATATACTGATCTGTCTTCTATCTCCTAATATCTGTTTACCTTTAAATGATGAATTCTAAACGCTAGATTTAATCATCTTTGGTTTGTTGCCTTTCGTTAATATTGATTTTAATTTTAAACGGATGGTACTTTAAATTTTAAAAGTTTAAGTAATATTTGATATGATTTTAATACAAGTTGACCAATAATAGATGGAATAAATATAATTAATACAATTAGAATTAATTGATTGGCAATAATTGAGAATACATTGATATGTAGAATTTTTCAAAAACAAAAAAATAATATCTCATAATCATATCATGTAGTAAATTGAAAATGATTGGCAAATTTCATGTGATAAAAATCGGAAAGCATGATTTAAAAAAAATATAAATATCATGTGGCAGGTGTAAATACATATGGTGTATAATAAGAAATTTTCATTTTATAATATTTATTATATTTCATAACTTTTCAAAAATTAATCTGGGTTTAGGATCACTTTCAACAATCACAAGAGTAAATTAAAACCGGGATCATTAATATCTATATTCTTATTAATTTTTTTTTGATAAAAAAAATATTCTAAAGCTTTATTTATATTTTTAATTTTGAAAACATAATATATTATAAATACAACTTGGGTTCATTCATATTTTTTATAATAATTAAACTGTTTATTTAATCCAAATTGAATCAAGAAATTTTATAACTTTCATGATCAAAACTAATCAAAGATATGGGTAAAATAATACCATCACTAAAATATTATATTCTTTACATTCTTTTCAAAAAATATCAAGTATAAATTCAGCAGGAAAAGTTTATTACTTATTCATTTCAAAGAAATATATAACGCTATTGGGAGAAATGATTGCTTAACATCTTTCCTTGTATTTCTTATTCTTTGCACGTACTTTGTATCATTGTAAAAATGGATTATTTAGTAAAAATGAAAATAAATGTAAAAATTATCGTTGTGCGTCAGATGCACTATATTCGCTTTAAATTTCATGCTCTTCAATTTTAAATATTGATTGAAAATTAGAATTTCATATAACTGATCTTTTAAAATTTTCATAGGCAAACTCTGAAATAAAGATTTCTTCAAATAAGACTAAAATTTAATTAAAATCTAGTTGTAAGATCTTTAACGACACCATAATTATTGCAAATTCGTAGTGTCGGCCAAAATCAAAATTTATATAAAAGAGCAAACTAATATAAGGGACCATAATAAAGTTCATAATATTTTAATTTTGTGAAGTTGTATATTTATTCAAGTTTGAATATTTCAAGATTAAAAAAGTTTCATAGTTGTTGTATTTACTTTAATAATATATTAAGGAGATACAGTATACAAGAAATGAAAATTAAATTTATTTATTGATTTTATAGTATTTGTTTATTAATGATTCATAAAATTTTGTTTAATTACAAACTGATTTTTACTATGTAAAGAAAGTTTTACATATTACCCTATAATAATCAGTGTTAAACAAAAACTAGTAAATATAAATTGCTACTATTTAATGACAAAATAATTTTATGAAAAAAAAGTATAATAAGGATTTTCTAAAAGTAAATTTTGTTTAATTACAAACTGATTTTTATAATCAGTGTTAAACAAAAACTGAGTAAATATAAAACTACTATCTAATGATAAATACATAAATTTTAAAACCATTAAATGTTTTTTACAAAAAAATGAGTATAACTTATTATAAGCTATAAAAGTAAAATAAGAATAAAAAATGAGTAAAATACAAGAACAGGAGAATAATAAAAAAATGCAAATGGACTTACTTTGTAAAATCAGTAATTTCTACTGTATTATTATTAATATTATCATTATATTTTGAAAGATTTTTTGTAAAAGGATTAAGTAATCGAGATGTATAAATAGCTTGTGTATGAGTAGTTAATTGATTATTTTTTATTGCTGAAAAAATTTTCTTCCTATATTCTTGTGTCTCGTTAAATTTCATTTTAATTTCATTATATTGATAAAATAGGTTAATCAATTTTTTTATTTCAACTGAATTTGGTCTATTTTCTGGATTTGAATCCCAACATTTTTTCATTAAATCAGTATAACATTTTGGTGCAATTTGATCATTAATTTCAGGTCTAATTCCATTACATATATTTAATGCTAGAATATCATCATGAGCACAATTAGTGAAAGGTTGATTTCCGGTTGCTATGACATACATGATCATACCAAAGCTGTATATATCTGCTGCTGGAGTATAAGGTTCTCCTTTTAACACTTCAGGAGCTACATAAGGCATAACTCCATAAATACTTGTTTCATTAATATCATTAATTTTTTTACATAAACCCATATCAGAAATACATGCAGTATATTCATCCCTATCATAATATAATCTTGTAAATAATATATTTCCAATATGAAAATCACGGTGAACCATTTGTTTTTGATGAATTGTATTAAGACCTTCAATAATATTAGTTAATATTTTTAATTTATTAAACCAATCAAAAACTTTACACTTTTCCTTTAAATAACTATTGAAATTTCCACCTTCTGCATATTCAAGAACCATGATATACTCTTTGTATTTGGATTTTGGGATATTCCATATATTTTAAGAATATTATCTATATTTTGATGTGGATATGCTTTAACCTATTAAATAATATTAATATATGGGTAAAATATTATTATTTTCGCTAAAAAAATGTTGTTTAAATTATAAAGAAATTTCATACCTCATTTATAAACTTGTCAAGGAAATTTTGTGAATTATTTAAACATTTTAAAGCAACTCTTGTATTTGATTTTCTTTCCCAGCGATAATCATTTCCTTCATAACTATAGTATAACAAACCATCTTTCCATATTGCTGAATATACTGTAGAGAAACCACCTTTACCTATTGCTTTAATATCATTGAACTGGTCATACGGTATCCATTCAAACATCATGTCAAAATATCTATAATTATGTCCAATATTTGATCTCATTTCTTGAATTAAATCATTGATCTTTTTATTTTCATGATTTGTTTGACATGACATACAGCTTTTATTATCTATTTCAAACTGATTATTGTATTTTTTACCACAGTTTTCACAATGATATCCAATTTTACAAACTAATATATTATCTTTTGTATTTGGATTTTGAGTTATTCCATAATTTTCCTCAACTGAATATATGACCTGTTAAATGTAAAATCATTATTATATTATTAATTATTAATTATTACGTTAAATTATTGGAAAAGTTTCATACCTCATTTAAAAATAAGTGACTACCATTTTGCGAATTATATAGATATTTTAAAATGACTTTTTTATTTAATTCCCTTTTATAAATCCTTCCTATTCTGCTATAATACAATGGTCCATCCTTCCGTATTGCTGTAGCAAAGACATCATTTCCTATTTCTTTAATTTCAATAAACTTATTATATGGTATCCATTCAAATATCTTATCATTATATCTATTAATTTTTAATTGCATATTTTGGATGAAGTTGTCAATTTTCTTATTTCCACTAGTCCAGTCTGCAAAATTAATTTTTAAATGATTTATTTCACATTGTTTACACCATTTATAATGACTATCCTTGTATTTGTTACCACATTTTTTACAATAATGGTCAAAATATTCATCATTAAAAGCTAAAAGATAAACTTCCGTATCTGGATTTTGAGATATTCCAAAAATTACATTATTTTTTAAATATGATTCAACCTATCAAAATATGAAAAAAAAATTAATATTATATTGATATTCGATTTTAAATATAGAAAATATTAGATACCTCATTTAAAAATTCGTCAGTAATTTCTTGTGAGTTATATAGATGTTTTAAATAAACTTTTTCGCGTGATTTCCTTACCAACTTTTTATCATCAGTATTATAATATAATGGACCTTTCTCCCACATTGCTAAAGTAATATAATTTTCTAACTCTTTAATAATGGTAAATTCATTGTATGGTATCCATTCAAATATCTTATTATTATTAATTTTTAATTGCATTTTTTGAATAAAGTCATCAAATTTTATATTAGGCCACACAAATTCGAATTTTCGGTTCACTTCACCCGGCCGGGTCACTTTTTCAAATTTCAATAAAAAAAAGTTTATATATAAAAAATTTATCATGTGATCAGGACGTAATTTTATTGGCGGGTAAGTTTATCATACTTCTAGAGCGAAAATAAATCAAAAGTCAACCAATCAAATGTCACGATTTTATATATAAACTTTTTTTACTAATAAACAATAAACCCCGGGTCCCCGGGTCGATTTTAAATTTCAATGTTACGTGAACCGAAAAATTGAATTTGTGTGGCCTTACCACTAGTCCAGTCTGTGAAATTATTTTTTAATTGATTTGATTGACATTGATCACACCATTTATTATAACTATCTTCGTATTTGTTACCACATTTTTCACAATAATGATCAATATATATATATTTAAAAACTAAAAGATAAACTCCCTTTTCTGGATTTTGAGATATTCCAAAGATCACATTATTTTTTAAATATGATTCAATCTATCAAAAATATAAGAAAAAAAAAGTTAATATTATACTACTGATATTTGATTTAAATTAAATATATAAAAAATTTTAATACCTCATTTAAAAATTCATCAGAAATTTCTTGTGAATTGTATAGATATTTTAAATAAACCTTGTTTTTATATGACCTCTTTACCAATTTTTTATTATTAGTATTATAATATAATAGATCTTTCTCCCACATTGCTAAAGTAGTATGTTTTCCTAACTCTTTAATAATGATAAATTCATTGTATGGTATCCATTCAAATAATGTATTATATTCATAAATCTTTAATTGCATTTTTTGAATAAAGTCATCAAGTTTTATATTTCCGCTAGTCCAGTTTATAAAATTATCTTCTAATTGATTTATTTGACATTGTTTGCAACATTTATAATAAATATCCTCGTATTTGTTACCACATTTTTCACAATAATAGTTAACATATTTATTATTAAAAACTAATAGATAAACTTGCGTATCCGGATTTTGAGATATTCCAAAGATTACTTTATTTTTTAAATATGATTTAACCTATCAAAATATGAAAAAAAAATTAATATTATATTGATATTCGTATTTAAATATATAGAAAATTTTAATACCTCATTTAAAAATTGCACAGTAATTGTTTGTGAACTATGTAGACATTTTAAATAAACTTTTTCACATGGTTGTCTTACAAAGTTATTATCATTAGTATTATAATGTAATGGACCTTTCTCCCATATTGCTAAAGTAATGTGTTTCCTGTATTTCCCTGACTCTTTATTAATGATAAATTCATTGTATGGTATCCATTCAAATAGTGTATAATATACATAAAATTCTAATTGCACTTTTTGAATAAAATCATCAAGTTGTATATTTCCACTAGTCCAATTTGTAAAATTATTTTTTAATTGATTTATTTTACATTGTTTACACCATTTATTAAAATTATTTTCGTATTTGCTACCACATTTTTCACAATAATGATCAAAATATTTATCATTAAAAACTAAAAGATAAACTTCCTTATCTGGATTTTGAGATATTCCAAAGATTACACTTTTTTCTAAATATGATTCAACCTATCAAAAATTCAAAATATATAGAAAAAAATCAAATTTATGTTGATATTCGATTTAAATATATAGAAAATATTAAATACCTCATTTAAAAATTCGTCAGTAATTTCTTGCGAATTATATAGATATTTTAAATAAACCATTTCACATGATTTTCTAACCAATTTTTTATCATCAGAATTATAATATAATGGACCTTTCTCCCACATTGCTAAAGTAGTATAATTTTCTAACTCTCTAATAATGATAAACTCGTTGTATGGTATCCATTCAAATATTTTACCATAATTATTAAGTTTTAATTGCATCTTTTGAATAAAGGCATCAAGTATTACATTTCTACTTGTCCAGTTTATAAAATTATCTTTTAAATGATTTGTTTGACATTTTTCATATGTATTACCACATTTTCCACAATAATCGTCAATATATCCTTTGTTAAAAACTAAAATATAAACTTTTGTATCTGGGGTTTGAGATACTCCATAGTATCCAAATGTTAAATATGCTTTAATCTACCAAAATAAAAAATGATATTAATAATATATTAATACTGTATATTACTAGTTAAATTAACAGGGAAATTTAATACCTTATTTATAGATTCGTCAGTTACATCATATAAAAATCTTAATGTAACAATTTCATACGGGCATCTTATCCATTCTTTTTCGTCTTTATTATAATATAATGAACCTTCCTTCCATATTGCTGTAGTTAAACAATTATTTCCAATTTCTTTAATATCCATAAGTTCACTATATGGTATCCATTCAAATACTGCATCTTCATTGTAATTTAATTGCTTTTCTTGAATGAAATTATCAATTATTTCATTTCCACTGGTCCAACTTGCAAAATTTTCTGCAATAATTTTTTTCCCAGCAGTCAAATCTCTAAAATCAAGAATTTTCATTTAATAAAATAATATTGAAATTTTAAACGATAGAACGAATGAACGATAAAATAATAATTTTAAATAAATTCACTACAATACTAAATTTGGTTAACAAAAAAATATGACGTAATGATGCACTAATATCATCAATTCACCGATCATTCCAATTAACGTTAGATTTATTTTTATTTTGAGTTACCAACTTTAATTTAAATAAATAAAAATAAATAAAGGTGCTGTATTCAATATTGTACGATAATGAAAATATAAAATAGAACTGTACGTTGATACAAGTTTTGGATGTACGCCAGGACCCCGAAATATACATAAAAGGGTCAGGTCAGAGTTTGCGTATAATGAGTCAAAAAAATCATGTAGATCATTCCTTTTATGGATAATCCCAGCCAAAATAATATTTCCTAATTTAGATAATGGCTGAAATTATAATAATTCAGGCCCTGAAAGAATGCGTATTTTGGACCACTTCTGGACCTGACCTCTACATATATATTTCGGGGTCCTTGTACGCCCGTTTACAAAGTATGATAAAATTATACTGGTACGTAAGAAAATTTAAAATTTTTTCGTACAATAAATTTGAATTTCGTACAACTCTGAATTTTCGTACACCTATGGGCTGATTTACAGAACCGACCCAGGGTAAAGTAAAGCAGCGGTTAAGGAACTTTTCGAGTTAAATATGTAATTACTGCCCAAGGGAAATGAAAAGCAAAATAGTGGAAGGGAGTAAAGTAATTGTAAAAATAACTTTAAAGACTTATGTAGAAAAAGGGAATCGTCTTAAAAAAATGCTGACTGGTTTTTTAGGTGGGTAAAAAATAAATCTTTTTGCAAATAATACGTAATTTTATTTATTTTTTTTTACTTTGGAAAGGAAGGCGAGTTTAACTACGTAATTAATTTCAGCCAATAATTTATTGTTGCGTTTTTGTTGAATATTTTTACGCTTTTGTTGAAAAAATTTAAAAAAAAAGATAATTATAATTAATAATAATAAAAATAATAAACTTAATAAACTTAATTGTTTAATTGTTAACCTTTTGCTATGCCAAATTATAAAAATATATTTCAGCGGTAGCACATATAAAATGTTGTAACACAGCATATTTCAATATTATATTATAATTCCGGCCAAATTTATAATGTCGGCCGGAGTTAAGAATCTTATGACAAAGTCATAAGTCATAAGCGTTGCCAAATGACAAACATGTGCTAACACTGACTGCAATATCAGAAAAACTTTAATAGACCGTGATTCTTAGTTCTAGAACTGTTCTCCAAACTTATTTCGTTTTCAACCATGGTAAACCGTTTTTCCCCATATCAAATTTTATACTTTTGGCGGCAATCTTAATACTTTTTCGGGTTGTATTTGTATTAAATACATAAGTTGATAAACTTATCGGTATTACATCTTTTTTTTTTTTAAAGCTCGTGTATTAATTTTACTGTTTACAGTCTGGAAGTGGTGACTGTTAAGATTGTAGAGCCTTAATAACTAATATTTCTTCCTCTCCTAATCCTTCTGCTCAACCCTTTAGCTCTGACCCTTCTAATTTAAACCAGTGCCAAAGGTACTACAACAGTTGACTCCTTCGTCCCATTATATATCATTTCTACCAGTACTACTGCGGTCGAGGATGTGAAAGGATTTGACGCGGAACAACTTATCAATTTTTTACGAACAAAGATTCAAAGAACTTATATATATATATCTCAACAAAACTGATATAAAATTTACATACACTATTTTATATAATTTTAAGAACCATACATGATTTTATGTATGTGTAAAATATGTCGTATGTAGATTTCTTATTTAAATTCAAACATACTTCATTTAGTTTTATTTAATATTATAAATTGTAAATTCAGTTTACTTTGGAATATGTATTTATAGTATTTTATAGTTAACCTGTTTTAAACAAAATACAAATCACTTTGGTAATTGCCTGTAAAACTAATTGATTTTTATTTTTCATTACAATATAAATGATATTATATTAATTCATATTATAGAAATAAATTTGTTATTAATGATATTAAAATTGATAAGATTACTTACTATATTAACATAGCAAAATGAGCATTTCTTATTTCACAAAATATTTATACTATAAACTTCTTATCTTAAATTATCTGAGTAATTTCATAATAGAGTTTTGTAGTTTCACTTAAAGTGATTGCTTGAAATTTCGTGATGGAGTTTTGTGAGTTTCACTTAAGGTAATTGTTTGATGAGTTGTATATTGTTCTGATCTATTAACTTCTTTTCCATTATCATCAAAGTCATCAAGGTCATTAAGATTGGATTTCTTTTCTTGTACTAATTCTAAAGTTTGCATCATAATTGCCTTTGCTCTTAATATATCTTTTATTACAAATGCTAATGGAGGGTTATTTATCTGGCCAGCAACTTCCTGAATGTCAAAACGTTTAATTCGACATATATATCCATTTGGAATATCCATGGTAATAAGTTGAAATCGGTTAGCACTATGTAACATTCCAACAGTTTGTAGTTTTCTAATAATTTGTTCATCACCATTACATTCTTTTATAAGTTGTACTAACATATCCCTAAGCATTTTACCTAACTTCAAACTATCTCGAAGATATTTTCTTCCATTTTTTCCCTCCCATTTTCTTCCAGCTTCAATTCCACCAATTTCTAATCTATCCCCTTTTAATCTAAAAAATTCCATCACCTTTTTTACCAATTTTTTTTCGATCTGTATTACAACTTTTATTATTTTTTCTATCACTAGATGCTGTACTCATACCTTCTCCCCGTACCAAGTTGATTTTTGAATTATGAAATATTGGATCAATAATGGGACTCCATATATTATGCTGATACCATCCTTCTAATCTTGATGAATCTAGAGTGAAATCTTCATTTTCCCAAAGTGTGTGTATTATACTGTATGCAAGATGAATGTAATTTAAGTCAAAATGTTCCTTATTGGAATATAAAATATTAGCAGGTAAGAAAGGCTCAAAAATGATTTTTTGAAATAAGGATAAGTCAGTAATAGAATACTTTTTCATAAGATCAGTAAGTGATTTATCAATTTTTGGTACTTTTTGTAAGTTAAAAGAAAATATTTCCTCCCATTCTTCTTCTTGAAATAAAGATTCTGCTTCTTTATCAACATCATTAATAATAAAGGAATGTAAATATGATTCATATGGTAAATTTTGTGCATATTCATAAATTACTTTTAAATAGTCTAAGTGATTAGATCACGAAAAATAAGTGCCTCAGGTCCTAGGTTCGATTCCTAAGGTAAGTATAAGTTTATATATATTTCAACAATACAACCAGAAGATTTAAGAGTCCACATTTTTGCTGGGTTTAGGCTATGGTAGGTAAGATCAAAATTGGTTAAGTTATCAATTTCTTGTTCATTTTCATTTTCATTTTTGGATTGAACCACTTGAGCAGACTGAATGACTTTATCATTTGATTGAGTGAATTGTCTTCTTATCTGAGTCAAAATTATAAAAATAAAAAATATTAATTATAAAAGCCAAATCAAAATTATAAAAATAAAAAATATTAATTGTAAATTCACATAAATTTTTTATTTTTTTATAAATATTTACATTCTTTTTTGCCATCTGATTTTCATTATAATCTATGATTTGCCTCTTTCTTAAATTATGAATTTTACTAATAGAAGCTGGATCAGATGTGCTAGAAGCAACTTTACTAGTAAAATCTGGACTAGATGTGTTAGAAGTTGGACTAGATATGTAAATTAACTGTAAATTGTTAAATACATTAAATAGCTTAGTGAATGTATAATCAATTACCACATGTCAGAATTTGTAATATTATATTCACCTTTTTATGTTCTTTAATGATTCCTTCCCAATATATCTTCACCCATTTTCCTAAACGCTCTGATTTTACCTATTGCAAGAAATAAGACATTAGTAGTGCAATAATATTTTATTTAGGATAAAGGAAGGTACATAGTCAGTTCCTCCTCCAGAACTAACAGACCTTTACCAACAACAAAGTTAGGACACCTGAAGTGAAAACTACGGGGTGGTTACCAAGCAGACAAGACAGTAATTCTCCCAATCAAACGCATTGTCATGGGAGTTACCCTAACTTTGCAAAATAAAAACACGCACCTTTTCATTTAAATCTAGCCCAAGGCTCTCTGCTTCTCTTAAAAATTTAAATGCCCAATAATTATCCATTTTTTTCCAGTTTGAGAATGATGATGAGGAAGTGATCAAGTCATCATAATGTAGATCTAAGAATCCTTTGTAGGATTTACATTTTCGTTCTTTTAAATAAGCAATGAGGACTGAAATTTGAAGATTAGTATTAATTAATCAAGAAGATTAGTAAATAAACTAATCAAGAAGATTACAAGACAAATGCACAAGACTTACTGTCTTGGCCAAAGTAGTTCAACTCAGAGGTGTTCATGTTGATTAATGAATGGCAGAAAATAAAGTAATAAATTTATTATTTATGTCTTTAAGTTTTGTAATAAATTTATCTTTAAGTTTTTTAGCAGTTTAGTGGGGTTTTTTAAATAAAAAAATTGATCTAACATTATCTTAGTAATAATGAATCGATATTACATCTTTTTTGTTAATATTACATTTTTTTAATAATTTTGCATCAATATTACAAGATGGTAGCTTGATTTAGAAATGATAAACGAATTATTCATATATTGTCAATTATTTTTACCAAAAAAAGAAAAAAAAATTAATAAATATGACACATTGACATTATGATGTGATTTGCAATATATCATAATTTACACATTTTTTCTTTATATATCTAGAACATGTAATGTTTTTAATGTAGCAACACCATAGATATTGGTGTAACTATGAATAAAAAATGAAAAAACATAGAAAGGTCATTGTTTAACTTTGAGTCATTTTTTAAAATTATTTAAGGTATAATGCATATCATATGAGTAATAAAGTAATCCAAAAGATCAAGACTGAAAAATAGATTGTAATAAGGATGCATGTATGACTTTGAATTAATACACTTTAAAACTTAACAGTGGAAATGTCCAATTTTTTAAGGAAGCATCAGCTGATCGGCGCAGAAATCAGTGATGTTGATAGGTTGATACTACGCCATACTAAAGTTGAGCTTCTGTCATATAGGTGAAAGTCTGTCAGATAGCATCTCTTGCATGTTCGTTCATTTCATAACGTTTGTTTGTTTCATCAAAATACAAGAATGTTAGTTCACCATTCAATAGTACAATTGTAAACCGTGTTCTCTCTTGATCTCGATTGGCACGATAAATTCAAATGAAGCAAACATGGCAGGAAAATCTGGTATACTAGTGATAGGAACTGATTGTCTCGAAAATTTATAGTCTGGCAAAAGAATGTTTAAAACTTGACAAATATTGCAATAAAAAGTGCAGCAAATATCCTCTTCATTAATGCAAGACAGGAAGTTGCCAAATTGTGGTCTTTCAAATTTTGGTTAATTGTCAAAGTGAAACTTATTAATTTCCTTGAAAAGATCATCCAAAAGACGAATCTCCGTTGGAAATTGATCACCTGAATATGTAGTATCCTGTGAAGTAATAACATTTTGATTATACACAATAGGAACGGAACACATGATAACGCTTATTCTCTGAAAAAGCAAAAAAAAAAAAATAGCTTTAGTTACTACGAAAATTAACTGCCTTGAAAAACGTTTGTTGAATAAAACGTGAGGCGTAAAAGCATCAAACTATTTTATAATAGAACTTACTATTTTGGCTATTCAAACAATCCTTCTTGCTGGTTAATCAAGGAGTCTGTAAGGTTCAGCACGAAGTTCTTCTCTAGTTAATTTGAGGAAGCTAGAACCAGCGACCCTCTCATCACAAATTTTCCTATAGTAGAACTTTTCATATAAAAACATCTCCTTTCACTGCTGCACAAAAAATAACAATTCTGAAGGTATGATAAAATCAAGATACTAAAAAATTTGCATAATTAACTCAATTATGGTTAAAAATATTTATTATAAATTCGAATGTCATGATTTTATTAGAAATGATAGAAATAAACAAGTTCAAAATAAATCACATTTAATATACTGTATTTTACATTTTATAGTTTTAACTCCTCTTTAAACATGAACTCCTGTTCATGTCTAAGATTAATACTTGACAACTGTTTGATATATTTGAATTCTCTGAACATATTACTTAAAAGAGGATATTACTTTAAGGGAGCTCTTTCTGCCGATAATCACGACTATTTATTCACACGTTTTCCAAGATGAATAACTTCGCTTTTCCCATAATTCAACCATGAAATTTCTTAAAAAAATTGATTCTTTGACGCAATATACTCCTAATATGAGTATTTTTAGTGAGTTTTTCATATTTTGTAGGGGATCATTAAGTGCAGAATTTTTTTCAGACCCTCGTACATTGAAAAGTGGGTTGAATGAAATTGGTTAAAGATATTTAGTTTTTTCTGGTGATAGTTTGTTTATTGCTTTTCTTATACATTTTCTTTTCTTTTTCTTTGTCTCGTTTTAGCATGGCACAGTCATTTTGGTGCATATGTCAAATGTAAACCAGATAATCGTTAATAAAAATAAAAATAATGTTAAATTAAATTATATTTTCGATTTTTAATTATTTAAAAAGTCAATTTCAAAATAATACATATATTGTTTCTTTTAACCCATATGGGTTGTCAATAAATTGACAAAAGCATTTTGATTGGCCGATTATCATATGGTCTTATTTAACGACTTTACTTTCCACTTATCTTCTGTAAACGTCCAAGAATTTCCTTTTTTAAAAACCAATTATTAATTTTAAACAGCCAGAAAATAATTTTCATATGAAATTATAATACTAGCAACACGATTTTAAGTTTACAATATCCCAAAATTAACACTTGCTTTCTAAAATCTTTTGTTAATTCTGTAGTAAAAATAATGGGTAACAATAAACTGAATAAAGTGTATTAATAACGTTTTAATAACTTCTTATTAATATGAAAATAATCCAACCTTTTTTAAATTAAGGTTGAAAAATATGTTGAAGACTGTTACAAATGCTTCTAATTTTCTAATTTACTCATATAGTGCCTCTGTTTTAATTCAAACAAGCTTTTAATTAATTCCTTTTAGCTCACATTTGTAATAAGAAATGTAAAAGGTATATAATATATATAATTTTTTAATGAAATCCTAGTATAATGTTGGGTAAATAACTAATAAGCTATTCAAATAATTTCATAAATTCTTATTCTTAAGATTGTAGAAGTTAAATTACAAAAAGTGATCCCCTCTATTTTTGAAAATTTCAAAGGTAATTTAAACACTAAAGCATCTTTCTCTTTTCTAAAATTAGGCGGTACCAAATATTTCCGATTTACCGAATATTTCCAAGATTTTTAATATGTTTAAATGACATGTTTGTTTAAATCGTCTATAAACGGTTTGGTTTCGGTTATTAAAAAGTTTTTATCTGTAAGATCAAAATTTCAAAAAATCTTTTCAATGTTCTTTAGTTGGTATGACAGATGTTATAAAGAATATTTTTAATTAGAGTTTCATATATTTTAGAAAAAAAATAAAATTCATAAACGTTAAAACAATATTTGCAGTCAATCATTTATTTATTATTCGTAAACTATATACTTAAAAATACTAATATGTCTGGTTTATTTTGAAACGTCTATAGAGGCGATTAACATTGTAATTAAATGTTTCGCTAATCGAACAATACCTTATTATTCTTTACTCATTCGTTTTTTTTACTTGCGTGAGGGTTTACTAACTAAAGCCTCGCAATCAGATCAACTCGCCTCCTAAATTCATAATAGAAGCTTGGTTTAATCTGCGCAAATCATTAACAGTTAGTCTTAAAAAAAATATATCCTAGAACTTTCGGGAAAAAGTGATTGATGTGCATTTATTTTTCTGATGGACACAAAGACGCAGTAGAAATTGGCGGAAAAACTTTTAAAAGGAATTGATGGATGATGAATCATATTTTACATTCTACACATAAAAAAAGTGCCAAACTTTGAGATCTTGATTCGTGACCCATGGTCACAGTCTCTGACATCACTGCTTTTTACATATCAGGCGATAGGTGTGAATTAATGAGCGATGAAAAAAATAAATACAAGTGCAAGACTAGCTCGATAAGCTTTATGCTAAAATTGCGAACTTGAGTTTATAGACAACATTCTTCCATTTCTATACCATTCGCCATGTAATTCATAATTCCATGTTTTCCATCACAAATAGGACATGGTAAGTCGCAAATGCAAAATTATAATTATCAATCTCTCTAAAACTATTCCAGAATTTCAAGTATGTGAAATGCTCTACATGGATTTGATAATTTGTTCCGTATTAGGTTTGATTTCGAAAGTAATCGGCTTATCTGTTAAAGAGTAATATGTCCGTTTTATTTTGGAACATCTATAGAGGCAGAAAGATCAATTAACATCATGATTCATGATAACATGTTTGAAGCTGAACAATAAAACTAAATTGTAAGCCAGTTAATTTGGCATGCCAATCTTCTTCAGGATGAACAGTCCTATCATATCTTGTTATATTAATATTTAAAAAAAATGTAAAGTCAATTAATAATTTTATATACAGTCGGACTTCTATATAATCACCGAGTCTGTTACAAGAAAATTGGTGATTACATAGAAGTGTGATTACTTGGAATGAGGCCTCTATATATGTTTAATCTGCTTAACCTCTGCCCAATTACAAATTTGGTGATTGATATTATTACTATCATACTAATAGCTAAATATTGTCTTTTAGCAAGTATCATAAATTTTAATACTAAATAGAATGTGTTATGTAAAAGGCGCACTACTCACTGGTGCTGTGCATTTGTATATCCAACACATTTCTGCCAATCAAATGACTGATAATCAAACCAATCAGAAATTATGTGATTACAAGGAAGGTTTTATATTAATAAAACTAATATGTACGTTGCATGATTATTTCGGTGATAGTGATTATATAATATACGTGATTATAAAAGGGTTTTTTAATTAATTTTAAGTCGGTTACATAAAATTGTGTGCTTATAAAGAGTTGTGATTACATAGGAGGTGATTACATGGAGGTCCGACTGTAGTTAAAAGTGTTCTTTAATTATTTATATAATTATTCAGATTTAATGGATTCAATGATATTCTCATTCTGGAAATAAAAATGAAATTATTTTATAAATATTTACAGTGTCATGATACTGATTTTAAGGATACATAATAATAGCTTACTCATTCCTATTTATTAAGCAAAATAAATATGATTATTCATCTTTCATGAAAATAAATAACCCTGCCCCATCCAAATAAATAACAAATAAATCAGATTTAGCTATAAAATAATATACATTCAACGTCATTTTCATTTTTTGATATTTCTAATTTTTTGTTCTTACAAACAAAACACGTATTCTTACAATTACAATTGAGATATTTTATCTTGATTTGATTAATTTCTTGTTTCAAAAACATTGGTTTATAATTATTATTTTTTGATAGATATAAACTAACACACTTTGGATTTATACTAGGATTTATACTACAACTATCAGTATTAAGATTAATAAATGGACTTTTCAATAATTTAAAATTAAAAGGAAGGGATGCATAAGAACTAGAAGCAGGATAATAAGAAATATAAAGTGTACAAAAAGTAAATTTCGGTAATATATCATAACGCTTTTTTTTTACACAATAAGAGTACACATCTACATTAATTCGTGATCCATCTCCAAACCAGTGAAATCTACTAATACATTTTGGGGAATTATTTTGCAAATTAATTTAGTGGGAAATTCAGATAAGAGCAATAGATATAGCACGCAGAAAATGTGAAATGAACTTACAAATTATTAGAGTAGAAGAACTGACATTCCAAAAGTATCAACTATTCAAAATTACTAGATACACCGCTCAATATAAGCAAAATATAGTACGATAAGTTAGACAACCTGTGTTTAATAGAAATAAATAATTTTAATACTTTTTTTTGTTTTTTCTTGTTTATAACCTTTAAATAAATTATTTACCAGCATATAAATAATATTTTAATAAAAAAATATCAATTTTGTGATTGTCCCACCTCTTGTATTGAGTAATTATGGCATTTTTAAAGGCCGGAATCCAGCGTCGCTAAAGAAAAAATTTTTTAACTAATCGTTCAATGTAAAAATTTTTGATGGATCTTGATTCCCTCGGTTTTAAGCAATTGGTTACACTATTTTTCAGCCGGGTTGTAATACAAATTTGGCTGGTTACATTTTAGGCAATATCGCCAATTTGTATNGATCAAACTTGTGATATTAATATTTGACGATGCAAATTTATCATTCAATATACTCAGAACATTATTATATAACACTTAAAAAAAAAAAAATTCTGGGCAAATCAGCTCAAAAGCCATTTAAGGGATAATTAATTTGTAAAACCAGTTCCCCGAAATTTATTAGTAGTTTTCACTGGTTCGGAAACGGATCACGAATTAAATTTGTTATTTGATTGATTGTTGCTAAACTTATGTCCAATGATAATTGACTTATTTGAAGAATCCAAATTACTAAATATGGGAATTCCAAAAAAAGGTTTAGCCTTTGCAAGCATTGATTCAAATTCTTGCTGTAACGGTATAGTATAAAATTCACAAGGATTTTGTGGATTGTAACCATTTTTTATTAATTCAACACCAATAGTATCAGGAAATATGAAATTAAAATTTATGTCATATCCAATTACCATTATCATAATTCTTAATTTATATCTACGTTTTCGAAATTTTTTTTGAATACCATGAATTATAATACTCGGTTTTGTTTTTGGTTTTCTAAGAATATGACAATCAAAAAAAACATTTTTTGAATTCTCATTAGCATCAATAACTGATGGAAAAATATCACAATCTGCTTCTTCATTTTGAATTATTTCTAAGATATTTTGTGAAATATTTTGTAATTCAAAAGTTCGACATCTCCCAGCTTCATTTAAAAAATAAACAAAATCCTCATTAATAGTATATAGGATTCTTTTTCCTATAGATTTATATGTTCTTTTACGCAAATCCTGTAAATCGCCAGGTAAATCATCGGATAAGAGTTGAAAAATGCTTATGGGATTTTTGAATTCAATACAATCCCAATTTTGATAATCTTTCAAAGATTCAATCCAAGCTTTTTCATCAAAATTTTCATTATCAGGATGCTTTCCTCCAAGTAATTTTATATGATTAAAATTATAAAATTTTGAAGTTCCTTTTAAATTATTAAAATTAACTTCTACATTTGCATTTGAAGATCCGAAACCAATTTTTCCAGAAGCGCTATTAGAGTTATCTGTTGAACTGACAGATAACTTTTTAACATCATTAAAATAAACTCTTCCCCCTAAAATAACTTCAGTTGGGATGAATTGACCATATTCTTGGGTAATTTTCTCAAATTTTTTAGGATCTTTGGATTGTATAGCGTCAATCAAATCATTTTTGAACTCAGAAGTTAATTTTAAATTTTTCAAATTTGATTTGCTGAATTTTAGTGATACTTTGCCAATTTCTGTATATTGATAAGCTGACTTAATTTCTTCATTAAAACTTTTATTTTGTAACCTTTCAACTGATAATCCTAACTTTGCAAAATTCGTTATATTAATACCATTCACATCAATAAATAAATTTGTTTTCTTCATCCAATCTTCTTTTGATTCAAATTCAAGTCGACCTCTTTTATAACTACTAATTTCATTTAACTCATAATAGTCATTTATCGTATATGCTTGCTTTTCAGCTGTCTTAATTCCATCAAAACTCATAATTCATCCATAATCTATTTTACATTGATTACTCAAATATTTCCAATAAAGTCAGTTTAAATATAAAATATTTTGATTATTTTCAACTTTTATAATATCTTTTAAATGAAAGTTATCTTCATCTTCACGTTTCATATCACCGAATTCATTATTTGCTTCTTTTGAAAATAATAGCATATCATTAATGATACTACCATTTTCAAGTTCTTTACGAATACCTGATAAATAATCATCTGGATTTAATCTTTTAAAAATGGGACTATGTAATGATGAGTTTCCTATAATTTTAATAAGTACTATAATTTTTTCCGAAGACATTTTTTAAATTAAGACATTTTTTACGTTTTACTTCATATAAAATAAAAAGCTTGTTTAACATATCACGATTTATCCGTGGTCATAACATTACACTGTTTAAATTAGATTGATAACCATGAGTACGGCAAATAAAGTTGGGTTAGTCAACGTTAATTTTGGCCAAAATGATCAACATTCGTTGATAGTCACAAATAGTCACATGTATAGTTGTGCGGCAAATAAAATTTGGGGTTAGTCAACAAAAAAATTTAGGGTTAGGTATAATTGATGATCGCTAACCAAGAATAGAAAAATAAAAAACGTTGAGAATACCCGATAATAGATAGTAAATTCCTTGTTCAATATGAAATTTTTGAAAGAATAGATAGATGAAAAGATTAATGGGGAAGATATTGATTTTTCTGATTTTAATGAATTTAGTAATCTAGAAAACATTGATAAAATAATTCACAATACTTATGGAACTTTAAAAAAAGCTAATTGGGAGAATCGAAAAATTATTGTTGTATTAAAAAATTTGAATAATTCAAAAATTTCTGAAAGTGAATTTATAGAATTTGTTGCCAAGGTATGAATTATATTAATTTTAATTATTAAGAAATTTAATAATTAGTTAATAATTTTAATTATTTAAGAAATTTATTTTTTTTTCTTTTAAAAAAAAAAAAAAATTAAATTTTATATTAGCTAAAAGTTTTTCATAAAATTGATCATTCAAACATCAATCATTTTTTCGGGTTAATGAGAGGTATGCTGTAATGAAATGTTGAAACACGCATCTCCAGAATTTAAAGAAATTATTAGAAAATTAATTATTTTAATTTTTAATAATCAAGAGATACCATTAGAATGGAAATATGCTAATGTTTATCCTATACCAAAACCAAAGCCATGGGGTTGTCAAATAGTTAATACAAGCCCAATAACTTTATTGGAAACGGCTAGGAAATTAATGGTATCAATAATGAATGCAAGATTATCAACAATTCTTCAGAAAAACAAAATTCTTAAAGGTTTACAATTTGCTGGATTGCCTTTCAGTTCAACTTTTGAACCATTAAGGATTATTAATGAAATAATTCAAGATGCTAATGAGAATGATAAGGAACTGTGGATTTTATCATTAGACATGTCAAAAGCATATGATCGTGTTAATATTTTTATGTTAGAAAAAGCTATGCAACGTTTTAAAATACCAAGTTCTTTTATTAATTTAACAAAAGAGTTATTTTTAGGACGGAAAAATAGTGTATTTACAGCAGGAGGATTAAGTAATCCATATGATGTAATGGTTGGAATCGATCAAGGGGAAATAATCTCACCACTTTTGTGGTGTATATATTATGATCCACTTCTTACTGCCATACAGCAAGAACACTTTGGATATCGTGTAAAGGCAAAAAAGAAAATCAATTTATATGAAAATATAGAGGTAGAAGTAAAACAAAACATTACCAGCATGGCATATATGGATGATACTAATATGTTAGCTGGCAATAAAGAAGAATTAGAAAAAATATTAAAAACGGCTGATGACTTCTATACTCTTAACGATATTCAAATAAATAAAGAAAAATCTGAATTGTTACTTAAGAAAAAGAATTTTAATTTTAATGAAAAAATAGAGTTAGAATTTGGCAATCAGAAAATCAAAATCAAACCTAAAGGAAAAACAGAAAGTCTTAGAATCTTGGGTGTTTGGTTCAATATATATAATGATAACAATTTTATAAAACAACAAGCCTTTGATGAAGTCAAAAATTTAAGTAATAACCTGCTGAAGAACAAATGCATAACAGACAAAATTAGTTCCTATATTTTTAATGCTGTAATATTACCAAGTATCGAATATAGGACACAAAAAATAATACTATCAGAAAAAGATTGTGAAAAAATCATGGTTCCTTATAGAAAAAAATTTAAAAATAAATTAAAGTTAGCTTCAACTGCACCAAATATAATTATGGAATTGAATTTATTATATAATATTCATTCAATTTTTGATAATCAATTGCATGGCAAGCTAAGGTTAATAATTTTATAATTCAAATTAATGATCAAAGAATTCTTGGAAAAATAATGGAGATTCGTTTAGTAGATATTCAAAATAAACTACTTTTACCTTTCAATCCTTTAATTAATTTTCCTTTTTTTAATAAAGATTTAATCTTTATGGGTCAACATTTGCAAAATAATTTTATTATTAATAATTTATTATTAATGAAAAGTTATAATTTTAGTATAGAATTTAATAAACACAATATTGGAAAAAATAGTACAGTACTGTATTAGAAAGGGGTCGTCATATTATGGAAATTGTTGGAACTGAAAGTTTTTTGAAAAATATAAAAATTTTAAATATGAATAATTTATACTTTTTGGACCAATTTTTATCTCCTGATAACAAAACTCTTCTGACATGGTGGAATATAAAAAATAAGATATTTGCTCTTAGTAATAATAGAAATAGTAATGTAGTTAATACGCCAAATATATATAAAAAAATTCAGTCTTTAGTTACAACTAATGGAAAAAATTATAATGTTAAAGAGGAATATATAGATAATAATGTAGTCACAAATTTGGGTGGTTATGAATTTTTACCAATTAATATTCATATTAATAATATTATAACATCTTTTAATATGTTTCATTTTGAAAATATTTATGGAAAAATAATTGAAGAAAAGCCCTTTACATATATTTTTGAACATTTTAAAAGAATATCAGACACAAGTGAAATTAATTTGTTTATTAAAGTATGTAATGGTTGTGAATATAATATTGGTCAAATAGAGGGTAAATGTATAATAGAATCAATGAAAACTGAAATATATGAAGTGAGATATAAAAGACTTATTAAATGGAAGGGATATAAGGCATATCTTCTAAAGGAAGCACAACATAATTATATGGAAAATATTATAAGATATGATCAATTTTTTAAACGAAACCCTTTATATTACTCTTCATATGATAATTATCAATTACGTTTTGATGAAAATAGTTTAGATATTATTGAAAAATATATAGATTTATCATTAGATAAACAGAAATTATTTGATTCAAGAAAAATTTTATATGATTCAAACATTAAAGATTTTGTTTGCTATACAGATGGTTC